AAAAAAAAAAAAAAAAAAAAAATCAGTAGTGAGTTTTACAGTCTTGGACAAGGGCAGGCAGTGAGACCGGGTAGCTGGTCTGTCTCGTGGCTAGGGCACAGGCCCGGTGTCTGCCCGAGGTGGCCCTGGAGTCTTACCCCAAGGTCGTCGGCTCAGAAGGTGACTTCCAATCTGCACAGCGCAGCCTCCCCTCAGCGCTCAGATCACCGACAGGACACCGCCCTCCGCGTGCCCCACTGCCACGTCACTGCCACACCCTGTTCTATCAACAACATCTTCCTCCCTACGCCGGGAGCATTAAATCCCCCACCACTCACATCAGCTCAGGCACCCCCTCCCCGAAGAAGGCCTCCCTGACCTCAGAGCCACAGGGAAGCGCCCGGCGCACATCTTGGGGCCCCTGCCCTGTCCCTCGTTTGACGCCGCTCACAATGGAGAGCACTTGTGTAGGAACCTGCTCCGTGTCAGAGAGCCCGCAGGTACAGAGCCGCGCACAGCAGCTGCCTTTCTCCTTTGCTCCCTGCCGTGCGCCCTGGTGAGTGAATGAGCACTGCGCTGCTGTGCACAGAGGCGAGGCAAAGGCGGAGCGAAGACGGCGGCGGTCACGGCGAAACTTTTAGGGACCGAGGGCCCAAACCGCAACTCAAACCCACTGTCGATGGTGAAGCGCCAACGCTTCCCCTGCGGTCTGAGGCTCAGCCGCTGGGACGATGCTGGGGCGACTTGGCTCGCGTGCCGACAGAGCGTGCCCTGCGTGCCCACCGCAGCAGGCGTGCCACGGTCCGCCACCCCTGCTCCGCGGCTCTCGGTGCGTGGGAGCAGCAACAACAGCGGCACGCTGAACTGCGGAATAGTAAATAAGGTTCACCGAAAAGAGTGCCTGGGTCTATGTCCTGCACCGAGTGTCAAGAGTATTCTTCTGTACAGCCAGAACCAGGAAGGTCTCTAAAGAAAGAAATCAGCAATCCCAAGTTTAAAAAAAATCAGGAAGCTACTGAACCCTTCATTAGATAACCAGACACAGAAAGGGAAGGTCTCTCTCTTCATGTGTGTTTCATTTACAGTAAAGCTAAACTAGTTTATAACCATTTCTTTAGAATTACACAGAATGGACACCCTGAAAAACCTTCGACCACACCAAGGCCAGTCCAAATTCAGAACGTGCAGAAATTCACATAGTTAAACTGTACAGATGATAACTGATTTTACGCTTATTAGCAAGCCATTGCAAAGAATGCAGAAAATGGTTACATAATTACAAGTTTCCATAGTTCCCTCAAGTCTTCAAGGAATATTACTTTTTGTCCCCAACTGTTAAGTTTCTCAACCTTAACACTGAGATGTCCAGCGTTAGGAATGCCCACTCTCGCCTTTGTGGCTGACAAGGAAATTCGTATTCCTACTGTCTTTACGCCCTTCAGTCCTGCTGCCCTCCCCCAGTGAACCACAGTGGACTTACTACTTTAAAACCAGCTCATTCTAACATCCTGCAGAAATTCACTGAAAATTCTAGAACTCATCCATAAGCTTGGGTGCAGAAAAGATGTGAAGGTGCGGAAAAGGATGGATAAACAATCAAAAGACTATTATTCATGAATAGTATTTCCCATTTAAAAAAAAAATCTCCCAAGTATCATACTCAGTTTCTTTGTGGCAAGATGTAACTCTGACTACAATTTATGTCAGTGTCTAAACACTCACCAAGGCATAACAACCTCTTAGCCACTCAGATATTACCATAAGATTAATATCTTCAGTCCTTACTGGAAATCAGATACAAACTACACACAACTCAAGTTTCCATGTGACTGTGTGGATCCATCTCATGCAGCTGCAAAACAATTCACATGCCAAGTTCATAGGCCCTTTTGTTATTAAAGATCCACTTGCAGGAAAAAAAAATAACATGCAAAAATGCACATTAGTAGCTGAAGAAGTTCTTAATTTTTTTTTAAACTGAGTATTAAATTTTCAAATGCACCCAGGGTGAATGTTTGTGAAAATACGTTAAACATAGTCCAGAGGCAGGCACACTCAGCAGTGAATTCACGTCCGTCATAAGTGGCTACGGTTTAATACCTCCTTCCTCGGACGGTCTCGTTGCCTCACTGCAGCATGAAATGCTGCGGTAAAGCTCGGAGATTTCTGACTTGTCGTCTCCTAGACCTGTACCAAAGGTACTGCTGGAGTGAGATCGAGACCGGTGTCTCCTATAGAGACTCGCCTTTTCTATATGGGAGGGAAGATATTCAGACACGTGACTGAGTGACTCGAACAGTAACGGAATTACTTAAGAGCTTATCAGGAAAGAAAAGCAACCCCTTATTAAATAATAACCCCAAGTCTATTATAGGGTTCCAGCCACCTACTCTCAAACTTCAGCATGCTTTGAGGAGTGACTGAAAGGTTACTTAACCTTGTTTCAAATCTAGATTTTAAAGGAGAGCTTAGGAGGTAGAAAATTGGCAAAAACTATGGAAACACTGGCAAGCTCATACATTTCTAACAAATGGAGCATCTGGTTATTTAAAAATTGCTTTCAAGTGTCAAGTATACAGTATTCATTGCCTTTTCTTATTTTTAGAAAATGATATACTTTGGCTGTGTGGATCAAATTAACTAAAGTATCAGAATCTCTGCTTTAGGCATTAAGTTTTATTAACAATTAAATATAGAGTAAAAATCAAAGGGTGTAACAAGAATTTAGTGATATTATACAGAGTATTTATATCATTTAAAAGAACTACATAACTATCAAAACTTTGTCAGACTTTGTTTTCTAAAGACAGTCTGAAAGTCCAAAATGGTGAATCACATTATCACTTTACCCAAACAATCCACTTTCTGCCTTTAGTTACACACATGTCCAGTAAAGTCATATGTGATTCCTATTGAAACTGTTCATTTTACATTGAATAAAAATGCCACAATAACTTTGAATACTCAAGTTTATTTCAAGACATTTATGACGCTATATAGAAAATGTTCCTACTGCTCCCTATGTAATTCTTTAAATCTAATATTGCTACATTGTTTCATGAAAAAAATCTCCTTTATGTCCCAGAAGCTTTGTGCAATCCAAATAAACGCATCTGTAAACACAGAAAGCCTGTAAAATCCTCTTCACTAACAAAAGGCAAATGTAAGTAAGCTCCACACATCTTTTTAAATGAATCTGGGACAAACTAATCTAGGATTTATTATAGAACTCTTCTGTAAGTTTTTGCTTTCCTAAATAATAAAGGGCATTTTAAAGTGGCAGAGAACTTTTCTGGTTTTCCTAATTCTCAATTTTCAAATTTATATTACATGACTGCCCCGATGCATTGCAGTATTTCAACGTAGCTCCACTTTTAAAACCAGAGGAGGGGAACCCAAGGCAAGCAATACCCGAGAGCATGTGCAGACTCCTAGACTGAATATTGTCTTCCAGGGGATCAATGTCGAAGATGGAGCCGGGGTCCGTGCGCCACACTTTGAGGTCTTTCACCAAAAGAAAGAAATCAACAAGTAAGATGGGACTTTAAAAAAAAACATTACCAAAGAGAGTCGAGCAAAAGGCAAAAAACGCCAAATGCAAACCCACCATGATGAGAAATCCAGAAGAGAACAAACAGGTACCCGCTTTAGTGTGCACCTTAAGAACACTCCGGAATCAGATCTGAGCTGCAACGCCAAGCTCCGCTGGGGGCCACGACCATCACACGTCGCAGGTGCCCAAGAAGTCACTCCACACAGCCCTGGGACACCCCACCCACTGAGGCAGGCAAAGCGTGTGGTAAAAGCTGCTGACTGGAGCCACGTGAGTTATTCACGGAAATGATCAAGAGGTGGTCGTTTAAAACAAAACAAATCAAACACCTTCTCTACCTACAATAGGAACAAAGACTGGAAATGTAGATACATGGCGAGCCCAGTTTTTACTCGGAGTGAGTGAGCAAGTGAAGGAGGAAGAGCCATTTATCAAAAAGTGCTGAAAGCGAGGCATCCAGCAAGGAATGAAGACGAGGAGCAACTTCCTGCTCTTCATGGGCTACAGATGAGTTCACTACTGTAGTCAGCGACCACACTGCTACTGGTATCTGGACCTCAAGTGTCCCCTGAAGGCTCCTGGGCAGAGGCTTGGGGTCCAACCCGCGGAGCTGCTGTGAGGAAGTCAGACCGCCGCGGATGTGCCCTTGAGGTGGTGCTGGGACCTCAGACCTTTCCTTGCTTTCTGTTTTTGCTTCCCAACCTCCGTGAAGCAAAGAGTCTTCCTCTATCACATGATGTCTGTGCTGCCACAGGCCCAAAGCAACTGGGTCAATTAACCATGAGACCTCTGAAACCCTGAGCCAAAACAGCCCATTTCTCCTTTTAAGTGATTTTCTGAGGCAGTCTGTCACAGCAACAGAGAGCTGACAACACAGACTGGCTTGATAATTTCTGAATTTATCAGTAACCCTAACTAATGGGTATCAGGATCTACAAGGAGTGACATAGTGCTGTTCAACTGGAAAATAAGAACCTAGTTATGGACAAATGGCACAAATGAGGAGAGAGGGAAAATAATTAGTAAACTGAAACTGGAGATTTACTTGTCAGCCTTTAATTAATATTCAGTTTTATTATACGCCAATTATAACCTAACTCATTTAAGCTTTATACATATTAAAGTAGGTCTTATTATTATCCCTATTTTATGGATGAGGAAACTGGGGCAGAGAGATTCAATAGTTTGGCCAAAGTTACCCAAGGTTACCTTACTAGTAAGTAGCAGCACCTCCCATGAAAATAAAAGTGGAACAATTTGTCCCAGCCTACACTGCTTAGAAAATCTCTATGCTTACATTTCCACGCCTGGTACCAAAGCTGGTTAGTTAGAGTGTTTAATGTTTGTTGAATGTGTCTCATTTTGTTCCATCAAATCTCCAAAGGAAACTGAGTATACTTTGAAAAAGAGTAATCTCAAAGGTGATAGGTACTGAATCTAGAGAGTTCCACGGTCTTCAGCAGTGATCTCACCATCAGGGCTGGTCCCTGACCCTTGTTCCTGGGTAAGCTCTCACGCTGGTGAGATGAAGTAGACCTTTGTACTCTCCCCACAGACATCTTAGCTCCCAGCAATGAAGCTGTCTACTTCTGTGTGGCTTTTAATGAAAGTAGCACAATTCACACATCCAACTGAATGTGAGCCTTTTAAGTAATCAACTTGGGGAGATGAGCAAAGCTATCAATTGCCTACAAGTATGTTTGGATTCTATCTTTGTAAAATACTTTCAGAGTCACTTTGGTAACCATCCAAGTCACTTGGTGCTCTGACATTACTATTCTCGTTTTGTACTAAGATACTACCCCGTCAAATATATGCCTCCCTCCCACCCAACTCATCTCTAAATTGCCTTCCTCTTGAAGACAAAGAAAAATCTAACAATGAGTTTAGTGGGAGCTGTATACCAGGGTTACTAAAAATATTCTCTGGGCTACACAGGTGGAGTGGCTATAAACATTCTAGGACTACTGCTGTAAAGGAGGCAATAGTTAAGGGCTGCTGATGTTACTGAGAAATCAGCAATTTTCCTTCCTCACCCTACTGTATACTTGAGTGTGATCTTTGCTGATCTCTCGGTCACTGTCAAAGCCTCCTCCTAGGTTTTCCCTGATGGGTTACTAGGAACAGAGCGTGCATTCTATGGTATGCCTTCAGAATCTCTCTGGCACGTCTGCTCGTGGTGAAAGGACCTAAATGTGACATGATTATTCCTGTCACCCATGGTATAACACCTTAACTAAGAAAACAAACTAAAGAGAAACAACATAATTGCTCCATTGCTGTGGTCACCCAGCTCTGCGCTGCTTCTCTGACGAGTAGAAATAGTCTTAAGACTAGAACGCCACTAAGCCCGGAGAATTTCCATGGAGAGGAAGCTCCGCATGACACCTGGTGAATGCCATGAATGCCCTTCAACATGGCACCAATATAACACTTATCTGGCGTCCATCTGGAGCCGAGCACCACCCCAAACACTGGATGAGGACTCAGACGCTCCTGCTGGCCATGTCTGCCTGCCGAGGGGGACCCCGGCTTACCCACAATGATGCCAGGCCTCCTGTCCATCTCCACGATGTGAGGCTGGACCCCCTTGTAGGCAGCATCGCTGACGACCTGGGTGTTCTTCCTCACGCGCTCTGTCACGGGGTCGTCCACGACAGGAGTGAAGCCCTTCCCCTTCGTCTTCTCAAAGTCTTCGTGATATTTTACCTGGAAAAGAAGAAACCGTATTAATGCAAAATGAAATTTCCTGGCTGTTACTGGTCTCACACAATTTGGATAAAATGACAGGTGCATCTAGATTACTTTCTGCATATACGTATCTTCTCCAGGTGTCCCAGAGTAATGTTAGATCAACTGCTGACATTTTCACGGTGTTTGGAATCATTATGGCATTTCCTTTAAGTTATATATAAATGTGTATTAGTGAGAAGTTGTAAAAGATAAAGCTTAAAATCTTCATTCCTAGAATATGCCAATTCAACTACAAATTAACTCCCTGTTAATCCTTAACATGAAACAATGTAATAAGCATTTATCCACAATTATTCAAGGCTACTTACTTAGAATTAGATTGGAAGGGACAGGTAATGATAATTACAATTTTAGTAAGTAACTACAGATATTGTGAAACATTTTCTCATGGCTTAAAACTGGATCAGAGCAATAGTTGTAGCACTATGTAAATTATACTATTCATTTACCTTGAAGTAAATACTTTAAATGCTTTGGTTTATGACAGGAAAATTAGATCTCGTGAAAGTATTTTTAAATGTATTTTTCATATTTTTACAACATGCAATTACACCAAGCTCTGTCTTACAATTAAATGGAAAAATATCTAATCAAATGGCTTCACAAAATACATTTTGAGTAATCACATTAGAAATAAAAACACACCAAAAGAGTCACAGAGAAAAATTATTTTATTAGAGTAAACAATTTCATTACATTTCAGTGTGATTAGAAAGCACCCTCCCCAAACAAAACAAAACAAAACACAACAAAAGGCTCATCCAAGTTTCCATGCTTTGTTAGTTGTCCAGGTTAATAGTGAACTAAAGCCATCAATCCACTGAGTCTTGTCGTTCCTTAGTATGTTTAAGTCATGAAAAGAAAGACGTGGCTGTTCCCTACCATTGAAATACGATTTTGTGCTTCTTTAACATGTCTCAGACTAGGTGTATCTAAAATCAGACTTGGTCTACCTTTCATTTGTTTATGGTCCTGGGTATATTTTACCTGAAAAATAAAAAGTAGACATAATTGGAACAGGATAAGTATAATAAGAATTAGATAACTTAAAAGTTTTACAAGGGAGTGAAACTTATACAGTATTTTCCAGGTAAGTTTTTCCAGTTATTTTCCAAGTAACTTTTCAGTGAATTGTGCCTACAATTGTACTCTCAAGATCTCCCTTAAGGACTACTGCGATCATGTCTTAACCTTCTTTAGCAACTGAAAACAAATATGTGCAACTAACAGTCACTAGCAACGCAGTCAGTAAAACTGGTTCTCATATTTAAACAGGGAGTGTTCAAAACTAAACAGAATCCGAGTTTATTTTCTGTTTCTAAATTTCCCCTTTTTCTGCCATAACAATGCTGAAAGGTGCATACTACCCTTCTTTCTTTATTTTTCCCTCCTTAGAGAATGAGAAACAATGAGAAATAAATCCAATTTTCCTTCTAAGCAACCAAAGCTTAGAGGCGCTTTGTGTTGAATATACCCAGTATCTCCAGACAGAAATGCCTTGATAGCTGAAAATCATGCACCCAAAACACCAAATCCCCAGGAGTGCAAGAAACAGAGGCTGTGTTCTTGACAATGATCATTAGAACACTGCCTCTCACCCAGCTAATTATGTGTAAGATCAGAACACCATCAGAAGACTGAATATTCACAGAAAAAGTAAGGCCCTGATGTGCACCATGAGGAATTTTCATGAGGAACTCAATTCTATATTATCTATTTTTCCCCTCTAAGTCCTTACTTACTCATTTCCTACTTTCTTTGCAAAGAGTCTTTTACAAGCCATGTACAATGAAAGACATGAGTAAAATGACAGTTACTTAACTTGTGTGTCAAAAAGACTTTATCATTTTCAAAGATACTGGCTAAAGTCACGCGAATCATTGTTTAAATAAACTTTAAATGTGTCAGTCATGTCTGGAAATACTTCTGAAGGGTTGTAGAATAACATAAATTTATTCAATGGTGGCTTTTGGAAATCATCTGAAATAACAAATGTACTTAATTGGAAATATTACCACAAGCTCATTCTCACACAAAGAAAAGGAACTGTAGGTAACTTATAAAGGCACATCCTTTGTGATTGTCCAAAATAAGTAAAACCACTTGCCGAGCTAATGTTTTCTTGATTCTTCTTTACTCTTTCCATTTCGGGAGTTATACTCAAAGCTGTAGCCCTTCCCAGCTGATCTTTATAATAAACCTACCATTGCGGAAAACAAAAGGAAGAGAACTATGAATCATTTCAACTAAACAAGAGACTCATGGTATTCATTTTTAGTATATGTGTTGCCAAAGTGAGTACGGTATTTATTAAAGAGACAAGGAAGGGAAACTATTTCAAAAAAGAGGATACTCTTGGAGGTCTGATCATATTTAAAATGCTTGCATCTTAAAGCATCTACTTCACTCACTGCAGCCTAGAACAGTGTCTTTGTCTGAATCTCTGGGGATGCTCTCAAATATAAGGGTGTGCTGCTTTCTGTGAGCATGTTCGTTTCTGAGAGGAACAGTCACACTGAGCATAGCTTTAGATCCACTGGGAAAAGACAAACATCTACTCCTCCAAAACGTAGTTGTGGGGAAAAAATATCAAACAATAACATCCCTTGGGCTGAGGATTTAGTTCAGTGGTGCCGCTGCCTGCCTTGCAAGTACAAGGTCCCAAGTTTGATCCCTGGTAGCAAAAAACAAAAACAAAACAACAACAACAAAAAATAACATCCCTGTGCTTCATAAACTGGTCAAATGACTGAAGGGTTTGAATAGTAAGAGATTCCTCTGCCAGTAATAGATTCCCAAATTTCCTCTTCCAAAGAACCCAAAATGTCCGAGACTGCATGCTCATGACTTCCAAAAAGGGGTCTCAGAGAGCTGTATCCGTGGATTACATAAACAAACAAAAGGGAATCAGAGCAGGCCACGAGCCAGTGTCTAAGGAGAAACTGATAACCTCTTTCTAGTGTCCATAAATTGGCTGTTTCACATGAGCTATTCGGCCACGTACACTTAACAGTTCTCCCGGACACTGCCCAGAAAAACAGTAATAATCACTGAGGGCGGCAGGTGGGGCCAGAAGCTGGAGAACAACAACACAGCTTTCCTACTCTAAAAAGAGGAGTAGGAAAGTGTGGTTGCAAGGCTACAACACCAGAAGATTCCCACTGGGGTACCAAGCAGTTACTGGCATGAAGACAAGATAAGGGAGATACACAACAACCTGGAGGGAAAAAAAATCCCCCTGGTGTGGTGCTGGGGACCTAGCAATACCCAAGACCCAGGCTGGGACACTGCTATAAAACAGTCCCAGCCTCTATATACTGACTCTACATTTGCTATCATTGGAAAGAGTTACTAAGATGATCACACATTGCTGATATTCTTCTGGTTTTCTTTCACTCTTTTCAACTCTGGTGGGTCAGAAATGGGAGTTGCTTGTGTAATCTCTTCTTTGTATTTGACCTATGGAGAAGCAGGACAGACTGAGTAAAAAAAAACACCACAAAGGGTGAGTCTCAAGGTTCACCCCATCTTTCTGCACATAATTTATTACAGCAGCTCTGTCAGTCTTCCTATTGGTACGGACAGCTAGATTTTGAGTATCCCTATTTAACAAACCCAACTGTTGGCTGTGCTGTTTAAAAAAAAAAAGTCTTTAGCCGGGTGTGGTGGTGCACACCTGTAATCCCAGCACTTGGGAGGCTGAGGCAGGAGGATTACTGTGAGTTCGAGACCAGCTTGGGCTACATAGTGAGTTCCAGGTCAGTCTCAACTACATAGTGAGACCCTGTCTCAAAAAAACAAATAAATAAATAAATAAATAAATAAAAATAAGAGTCTTTGGTAAACACTATGTTGTTCAATGTTCAAACTAATTGCAAATTACATCAATAACAACAACAGAAATCTAAAGGAGTATGCTGAAAATAAACAGCAGAATAAATCCATGATGATAAAACTAGAATGAAATCCACATGGCAGCCTGTCTTCTACTCCCCTGTGATCCTGGGGCTTCCACTTTACAGGGATGGTAGAGAGATACACAATGTGGGGCTTGATTTTCTCCTCCCTCTGGAGGAATTTGCTCTTAAATCTTAAAGTCTTCCAAATATCTGTTTTGGAAGAAAGGGGCCATTTTTAAAATGTTCCATAAAGGGGTCATAAAATGAGAAAAACCACTATCTGGGAGCAACATGGAAAAATTTCTGGATCCAAATCACACTGTGACACATACCAGCCATGGATCCCTGGCATGGGCTCTGACTCAGTTTCCCACATTTACCCACGAGAGAAACACAGGTGAACTTACGGGTTCACACAGAACATGAGCGCAGGGCCCAGCCCCTCACAGAGCTGCACATAATTGTTAACTAGCACTGCAACAGATCATTGAATGATTAATGTTTTCCATTTCATGGCCAAGGTTCCTTATCCTGATGCTATGTGCAGTCAAATGCCAACCAAGCCCAGTCTTTTCTTGCTCTATTCCCCACAGATCATTTTTTCTGCTTCAATAGGTAAGAGATCCCTCTCTCCAGGTCCTTATCTGAACATATTTTTAGAGGCTCACCAATAAATGATAAGCTTTGTGAGGACAGGATGGATCTTATTCAACTTTGTGTCCCAGTGATCTTGGACAATGCCTGACACATTTGGGTAATCACAGAACTTTTGGTCACTAAATTATAGCAACTACTGACTGCCCCAGACTTCCTGGGCTGGTGTGATAGTCACAAGTCTTGCCTTTCAAGGAGTGAATGTGTAAAGAAGGATCCAGAAGACTAGAGAGTTTAAAGCTTAGCATAAGCCATTTTTTAAAAAATAAAAATACACAATGTTAGATAAAATTTGAAGAAAACAAACTACTTGCCGCACTCAGCTGCTCCTGGTTCCTCCTCACTCTTTCTATCTCTGGGGTCACACTTACTGGTGTGGCCGTATAGTTCTGTTCTTTATACTGGAGCTGGAGGACAAGATGGCGGATAGGTTGGATTAAGGGAAATAAATATATACCAATACGTGGGAACAGATGGAAAGAAATATCACATGGCCACAGAGTATGTGTCAGTGAAATCTCCATTAGGATTTAACAGTGGAATATGGATGGCTCACAGATTATCTTCTTGGTGACACCAATGGCTCAGCTTGTCCTTGTCAAATGTTTAAATAATACCTTTCACGGTTATTCGAATTGTATTATTTCTTGGTGTCCTCCCTGAGTTGAAGTAAAGGAAGCTTCAGTTTAATCTCTACTGGCAGGCAAGATGCAAGGAGAGATTTCTCCAGTTCTCAGAGGAGAAATCTTGAACGGCATCACTGACATGGAGAAATTCTTGTAGCCAGTTTCCAGTGGGGATATGAACCTGGGGCCATCAATTTGAAAGACAGAATCTTCATATCGTGTAACCCTGCATTTGCAGACCCGCCACGTGCTTACAGGAAATGGCTCTTTCAGACTCTAACCCATTTTATAGATGAGGACTCGAGGTTTCCAGACGTCGGTGATTACGAAGTAAGGTCTGGAGACCAAAACAACCAACAGTTGAGGGTGTACAATACTTTCCACCACTCCATGTTATCTACACTTCCTGAGTTTCTGCCACCAGCACGCCAATTTCCACCTGCCACACCAGATGTGCTGTTGTTTAGCATGGCTTTCTCATTCAATAAACTATTATTTACAGATACAGTTATTTTTAATGGAGTGTACATTTCTACCCTCATTGAAGCCTAGTAACTCTTCTCGTAGAAGACACACATTAAAACAGGGCGACAGTAAGTCAGGGACTGAACGTCGAGGGGTGACCCCGAGGGACTCCACGCTGCGTCTTTCCAATCTGTGTCACCTCTCCCCGCACTGTCATCTCCTGCCCCGTCTCTCCCCGAGTCCTCATCACATACAGCTTCTCCTTCCGAGCAGGCTTGGGTCCTGCACATACTCGGTTTGCTCTGCCAGGAAAGTGCTCCCTCACAAAATCCATTATTCGAGGTCTAGTGGCGGGAGCTGCCCCTTCTGTAGTTCTCTTCCTCTTTCCACAACACGCCATCCTCTGCCTTTAAATCACTTTGCCATAGGGACTATTACTTGCGACTAAAACCATGCATGTAACCAAGCATAATACTTGAAAAGCATTTTAAAATGTACTGTATTCAAAAAGCACAGTAAACACCCAGTAATCCTCACTGTTGGGGTCATGCTTAAACGATGCTTAACCATTATTTATTCTATGTCTATTTCTCATACAGGGCTTGAGAACACTCACAGGCTTGATCCCTGCATTTCTGAATTCTTCCAAGAACAAGAATAGATTAGATAGACTGGGGATTTAGCTCAGTGGTTCTGCTGACTGCCTGGCAAGTGCAAGGACACAAGTTTGATCCCCGGAACCCCCTAAAAAAGAATAGACTAGACATTCAACAGCAAGTGCCCATGAAGCACTGGCTGGGTGGAATGAAGCACACAGAGAAAGTTGGATGCGACAGCTCCACTGCTAAAGATGACCTTTGCAAGTGTAATAGTATTTTACCTGGGCAGGTGTCATGCCCTCTTTACATATTGGTATTCAATAAAATAGAAAAAAATACTCAGGGAAAAATGACCACATTGGTGACATTCCTATGGTTTTCTTTAATTCTCTTTAGCTCTGGAGGATTAGAAATGACTGTTACATGTTTAATCTCTTCTTTGTATTTCACTTGAATAATTTATAAAAATATAACATTGACTGTAGTCTCCTCACATCTTTAAAGCATAGAATTTCCTTATTAGTAACTATTGTGTAATGAAAATGTTTAAATGCTAACATTGCTTTTCCTTCAGTGGAAACACAATTTTTTAATTTTATTTGATGCTTTCAGGAATTCTTTATCCTGAAGTACAAATAAATTCCTATCTATTCACCTACCCATAACTAGAAAAGTTCTTTAATTAAAATAAGCAAATGCTTATTATGAACATAAATTTTATCATTAAGCAAATGCACAAAAAACCTTGGAAATTATCTTAAAGTGATGGCTTCTTTCCTATCTAAAAAGCAGCTACTATTATGTTAATGATAATTTGCCATGTGTATAAAGCCAAAAGTCAAATTGAAATAGCCACAGAGTCCTGGGAATGCTGTTTATCCAACAGCACACAAATAATTTATAATAAGGGGAAAAAATGGAGTGACCACAAATAAAAGAAGAGAAAAACGGAGTTGAGGGAAAGGTACTGAAAGCACAGTCCAGCATATCCTGACTCCCACAAGAAAAGTCCGTGCCAGAGGGTCAGGAAGAATCTTCCACCCTCAGCCCCACTGCGAGGAGCCCCACTGGGGCCTGGCATCCACTTCGGGCCAGCTTCCCTTCAAATCTGTTGGGAGGAAGATCAAGCAGACAAGTGTGGCACCAGTACAGGGTGATGCACAGGATGGGACAGGAAGCACACTGAGCCCTTTGCACATGATCAACAAGGTCACCATCTCAGGCTGTTTGTTCACACATCAAAAATTCACAGAAGACCGTTGTGGTGAAGAAAAGAACACAGACTAGACTTACTGAAATTTAGCAAAGACTTAAATCTCCATAAAACGTACTTTAGAAATTGCTTGAATATGTTTAAAATGAGTAAAGCTGACATCTACACTGATTGTCATAAAGTCCCAGCACCTCAACATCTCAGGTATCAACTACGCCTCGGATCTGAGGGTTTAAGTAAAAATGCTAATACTGTACTAGTCCATATCCGAAACAGTTAAATTGAAGTGGAGACAGGAAACCTCTAAGTAAAACTCCACATCAATTCTTAGCAGAGAGAGCTAATAGCAAAAAGGCTTGTTCTCAGACGTGGAAAATGTCGAGATGTTTAAATGTTAGGGAATCACTTCTTGGTTTGACAGATCTGCCTAATCTTCAAAAGGGCAACTTTCCATTTGAATACTAAGCAAGCATTTATGGCCCAACCTCAGAGATACACAACTATGTGTTTATTGTTTGCTCCAAGAGGCTGTGGGATGATGGGAAAAGCAATGATATTCTGTGCTGCTTTGCATGATTCTCCTCCAGTGGGAATTCGATGTGATTAAAGATGGACATTTTCATTCTTCATAGGACCCTAAACTAATCAAGATGGTCCAGTCATTTCGTTGTAGGCTACAGAACTGCACACTACACAACATTTACATCCGACAAGTACATTTCAAATATTATCACTTGGAAGTGAAAGAAACAAACAGAATTCTTGTAATTTCATTTTAAAGTGTTTTACTATAGCATCACCTTGCCCTGCCTACACTCTACTCTCTCCATTAATGCAGGCACACGCCCATTTTCCCAAGATGCCACTTAAGGATCAGGGTTGCCCTCAGATGAGTGGCCCCCAGGCAGTTGGTTCTACCTGCATCGCCTAAAGGAAAGTTCTGCAAAGTTTTATCTCCAAGGTAATAATGATGGGGTAAGTCAGGAAACAGGGCTTAAGGAAAGAATAATTTTAATTTCCTCAACAAGAAACAAATGGAAATACATATGTAAGAACAGCTTTTGGTAAAAGTAACAGTGTCAAATTCCTTGAACCAAAGGAATCTTTACTAATAACATTAACTTCCTCTCCTACCCATCCCTCAGTTAAAAGTAACTGGAGGGTAAGTTATTCTACAATTTCTAGTAAAAGTATGCATTTTTCATCAGCAAAAGTAGATAATAAATGAGGACGGAAAACAGAAATATTTGTGAGAGAAAGCTCAGAAATGTAGCTGACATAGGGTAAAAATGAATTGGTACTATATGTCTTTTAAATTTATAACCTTCCTTTAAGGCACCAAATAAATGTTCTGGGGGATTTAATAGTTCTGTCGGGGTAAAGCTTTCTCCAAGCTGTGGAGAGGCACTAAATGTATCCTTTTTCTGCAAAACTCGATACAGTTAAAATTCTGTTCAAAAAGATGAAATGTAACACTAGATTTCATTCCAATGACCTACATCTTCTTTACTCTGATATATCAAAATAAAATAAATGTTGCTTCAGGTTTGTGAGGAACAGGCTATAGTTTCCATTCTGAAAGTTAGACCTTTGATATTTGATGAAATAGTATTTCAGTAAATTGAAGAATAAAAGAAAAAGTAGCCTGCTGAGTCAAGAGCTAAGAACACTTCCCAAGTTTCTGTTTGCTTGGGGAAAAGATAATTAATGCTATGGAGAACTTACTGAACTAATATTTTGCTGATTTTTCTTCACTCGTTCAATCTCTGGAGTCCCTTTTACTGCTGTGCCAGCTCCTACTTCCTTCTTATAAAATACCTTTATTAGAAGAGAAGGAAAAGAACTATAAGCTTATTAGATTTCAAGTCCTAGATCCGACAGTTATAAAAGGCCATTTCTCAGGTTTTACAGTAATGTGAACACTGCTCCTATTTATGACTACCAACATTATGCAAATCAGTGAAATAGTTCATTATGATAAGTGTCTAACTTTAGTTTCGTATCCCCAAAACATACAAGTAACTTTCTAATACCTGCTCTAAGTCTTGATCAACCTTAGCAAACTGTACATTATTTGCTTTTAGAATGTAAATTGGCAACCTAGAGTTTCATTCTTCGAATACATATATATATGTCACATGTGCACTGGAGAAAAATCTAAACATATTACAAAAGCCCATTAAGAAGTAAGCATTTAATTTGAAAGGACGAAGAAATTCTCAGCAACTTCTAGTTTTCTAAAAGAAAAGATGCCTTGTTCTCTCCTAAGAAAACATTAGCTTTACTGTCAACGTCAACATTAATTCACTCATTCAGTTATTCCCCTTCCCCTCACCTCTCCATCCCTACCAACATCCTCTACCCTTTCCAAACACAAAGCAAAACAAAAATCAAAAGAACTCCACAGGAAGAAAGAGTGATACTAAAAAACGCATGTGAGGACAGATGGAAAAGGTTTCCTCAGCAAGTTAAAATCTGGAATACTACAGAATTGCAGAGGTCAACAGCCAAAACAGCCTCTTTTTCTAATCCCTTCAGAGAGAAGTTTCCATTTCTTGGAACAGCCTGCCTCTGTGTGGAGGCCCAAGAGCTGCCTGACCAGAGTACCTGAGAGCTGGATCTCACCAGTGAATTAAGAAAGAGAAAATCCAGCAGCCTCAACCCTAACAGAATTTACATTTTTAATTAGACACTTGCTTCACTATTCAATGACTGAGCCAATTCTACACTATGATACTGACACATAGCTGACTTTCATACTTCCAAAACAGAATTCAAGTTTATGCATCCATCAAACAAAGGCCAATCTCTTCTTTAACAACGTGGATGCGATTCCCATTCCTCAAAGTTAGTTACAAACTAGTTATGAACTAGTTAGTTATGGACTTAGCTATGAACTCGTAAATCTGTAGAGATGTTATCCACACAAGCACACAAAGAACAGGAAGAAAATCATTTCATATGACTACTTCCGTCTTCAAAGTAAAATCTGTGTAGAAGGCGAGGATTTTTTCCTTGAGTTAAACTTTAAAGTTCAGTTAATAATTGTCACTTGTATCTAATGTAAAATTCAAATTTGTAATTCCAAACAATCATGACAAATTATAATTTAAGAGAATATTGGGAATTTTTATTGTTTTGAAGAACTAAAGATAATACACTTGGGCAAAAAATTCAAACACTACAGCAAAAAGTCAGATAATGGGATGGTGGGGAACCATCCTTACAAAACATAAAACTTGGAGGTAACAACAACAACAAAAAAAAAACACTTGTCTGGCATCCCTATTCAAATATCCAAACTCTGAATACTTTTTGTTTTCAAAAACAAATTCAAATTTTTGTGTGTGGCACTCAGACATCACACATGGAAAATTCCATACCTAACTTTATGGGATGGGTCCCAGTCACTACACAGGCATACCAAAAATACTGCACAAAATTACTTTCAGTTTAAGCGTATAATGTATATATAAAACACAAATGAATTCCGTGGTTAGATGTGGGTCCCGTCCCCAGCATATCTCTTTATGTATATATGGCAAAACTTCAAACATCCAAAATGTTTTCCTAATTTCCACACTCTGCGCTGGCTACTCACCGTACTAATGTTTTGTTGAGTTGTCTTAATTCTCTGAATTTCAGGAGTATATGCCACAGTGGAATAGTTAGAAAGCATTTTCTCTGCTTCATCTTTATACTTTTTCTAAAAATATAAACAGTGAGTGTGAGAGAGACAGAGAACAATACAGCTTCTCCCAACTCCACCACAACCCACGGCTCTAAATCATGTTTTCTAACTCACAGGTGCTCGTGCAACAGCAAAAACAAAGGCAGCAAGCAGCCAGGCAGCCTCACTACTCAGACTACAGTGGCGGCCTCAGTCCACTCGGACACTCAGAGGGCCTGGACACCACCCCCGAGAAGCCTCTGCTCCCACTACTTTTACTTTCAGGTGGGATGCAGCAGTCTGTAACTACATGTGTGGGGCTGTCAGATTAGCCTGCGGGCTGTGTCTGCTTTTCTGGGAACAGGCACTCAGGAAGCAACTGCTGAGTGAACAAGCTTGGCATTCCTGAGACAGCAAATTTCCTCCGCTGGCCAAAAGGCCCATTTGCCTATTCTGTGTGCTGTATCTGCCTAGGGCTTTATTCAAATGCAGCTAGAGCCAGTGCCTCCAAGTTCATACACCAGCAAGAGACACTGACCAGGAGCACAGCCCCTCCAGGACCTTGCCAACTGCAGTGTCACCCGGGGGCTGAGAAGCCAGGCGACCATCCTTTGACATCCCGACTCCGCCATCTGGATAGGTCCACTTGGACCCAGGATGTGTATGCTCGTTGCTTAGGTTTTAACCAGAATTCTAACAGATGTGGCCAAATTTTTGTCAAAAACTATTTTCAGCATAAATTCTATTAATCAAACTTAACCTCTTTCTCAGTTTGCTATAAGTATTTTTTCTTTTTTTTTTTCCATTCTCCTGTACTATTTTCTCCATTAGAGTTCATTCTTTCCCATGTAAATTTTATAGCAAAGACAGTACTCATTAATGAAAGTTTTTGCCCAAGTCACTTTAGAAATAATCTCTTCTTTGTAAATAATTTTCTTGGAGATCATTATTTCTCTCACATCAGTTTTTCAAGAGACCATGTGATAAGTCTATATTTGTTAAATGTTTTACTATAAAAATAGCTTTTCCTTTAATATTTAGTCAATATGCAACTTCACGTCATACTTTGTGCAGTTTTAGCCACTATTTTTTTATTCAGAGATGATTATTTTAGTAATAATATTCATTATGAATTGGTAAAGAGTCAAATCTTTGGAATTATTTTTCTGGACTGTGAGCAGAGAACATTCAAGCCAAGTATGGAATGAAGTAAAAAATTTTAAAAAGAAGGTCAAAATGTCCTTGTGCTCAAAACAAGGAGAAACATGGGGGGCTCTGGCACTACGTAACTCTGCTAAATTGAACTGAACCTACAACAGTTGTCCTTTTCAGTAATGCGTTTAACCAAGTTTGGCCAATAGCTTCTTAATAATGGAGAACACTGACTTCGGATGTAAAGCCTTCAAAAATAAAACAAATCACAGAATCACACAAAAACACACAGGGATTGGAGAGTAGAAACCAAAGTACAAATAGTGTTAAGAGGGAAAAAGGATAGATATAGAAAACAAGGAGACAGATCTTTTGCCGATGGAAAGGAAGCCAAGAGCTGGTGGGAGACTGAGAGGGAGGGGAAGGCAAAGGGAGCGAACGAAGACGCGTTACGTCCGTGGGCCACTCTCACGGCAACGTCACCATCACGCACTACGAACTCGACCAATACAGAAATTTCTGAAAAGAGCACATTACTCTGAACACCCACGTCTTCCACCTACCTGGCTGAAGATTTCAGATGCCCTCTTGGCTTGAAGCACGCCTGGGATATCCATGCTCAACTGCATTCCTTTCCCCTTAATTTCACTTTCTAAGTCTTTCTTATATTGTTTCTAAAAGACAGAAAATAATAGTGGTGACTGCCTCAGCTTTGAGAGCAACGCAGACATTTATGTTTTCAGCAGCAAAGGCCCTCGCATGGAAACCCCATCCATGCTCTTCCCAGACTCGACTGTCTGTGCGAAGCCGGGCACCCGCTGCTCCCTCACCTCGCTGGCCATCTCGGACGCGCGCTTAGCTCTCTGGACATCGAGAGTGTCCGCGCTGACCTGCATGCCTTTCCCTTTCACTTCAGTCTCCAGATCTCTTCTGTAATCTTTCTGCAGAAAATGAAATACGCAGTTAGGGCCCTACAATCATTCAAAACCTTGCTGTCATGTGGACATCGGGACCAGTTCTTTTGAATTAAGCTGGATGCTCTGTTTCAACAGAACAAGCTTTAACTTGATGGAGGAACATGACATGGAGTGAATTAGTCCCACCTAAGCAAGAGGCTTTTGTCTACCAATCTGGATCAAAAAAGGGAATAGAGCGAGGTGGGGGAATTATATATTACAATATAGTAAACCCCATAAATTGCTGGTGAAAATATAAGCCAGTTGACAAATGTTAAAAACAAACTGTAAATTGTTGCTTTTCACACTGTTGTAACTTGCTGGTCCCCGTTCCAAACCATTCTGCCTGAATGAGTCTGGCCTGATTCTCTGGGCCCTGTGGGGCTTGAGATCATTATCATCCATCCCTTTTTCCTGAGTGTCTGGTTCAGGGATGGGCACACCTCTTTTTCCATGGAAGATCACTTTCTCTTTCCTTCTGGACATGAGTGGAGAAGGATGCAGTCTAGGAGCTGCTGAAAAGTTTCTTCACAAACAGAACAAAAGCTACCTTAGGACTGAAAGTCGGGAACAGAGACTGAATCACTTTACAGTTACTATCTCTTAATGATAGGAATACAATCGGAGAGATCTGCCACTATGTGCGAGTATCTTAAGAGTGTATTCACACACACCTCCATGGGACAGCCCACAGCACACCCAGGCCGTATGGCAGGCACCAGATCCAGCCTGCTGCTCCAGGGAGCAGGCCAGACAGGGCAACAAGATGGAGCCAAGTACAAGAGAGCACGGTGCAATCGAGGAACTTTGGGAAACACAAGCTGGATGAGGCTGCTGCCAGCATAGCACAGCTATTTTACAATCTCTTCTTGTAACAAGTAGAAGGAATGCACTCAAATGATAAGAAGTATAGTAAATACCCAGACCAGTAATAGGCATTTATGATCATTTTCAAGTATTATGTAGAGAAAAGAGTTGTGTGTGCTGTACTTTTATACAACTGGCAGCACAGTATGTTTGTTTACACCAGAATAGCTGCAAACATAAGTGTAAGATGCTGCACTACAACATTACGATGGCCGTCATGCTGCTTGACAATGGGAATTTTGCAGCTCTACTATAATCTTATGAGATCACCATCATATATGTGGTTTGTCGTTGATCAAAAGTCATCATGTCACACATGACTATATTTGGGTCCTAGAGGAAGCCATACCTAAGGATTCATCTACTATTAATGCTTTTTTTTTCCCCCTTTGGTATGGGGATGGAACTCAGGTCCTTGCCCTTGCGAGGCAGGCACCAGAAACACTGAGCTAAATCCCCAGCTCTCCTCTACTGTTTAATCATAAATTATCTGTTTTAAAGGCAGCGTGAGAAATAGATCACCTGTTACCAGTCACAATTACACACACACATGTCTGAAGGGATCTTGTCAAACTTTAAAATTGATACTAAAATTCAGCAGGATGTACACTTACATTTGCATATTTTCTGTTATTCTTTTAAAATTACTGAAGAATATGAACTGCATCTAATTGCATTTCTTCCAAACAACTATTTCTGATTATACTGACATGCTCAGAACCCACGGATTCTCTGCTATGAGGTAGATATTGGTTCACTTATTTGTGCTATTCTGAATAAAATGTTTAAATCTATTTAAAAACTTCTGTTGTAAACAAAATTCACAATCATAGAGAAATACTATATTTTCCCTATCATCTACTCCTAAGTTGGCTTGTTTTTAATAAATTACATGCTTTTCTAATTAAAAGTTCAAATAGTAATGTTTAAGTACCAAAAATAATATTCAATTATTATAGGGTCAGAACAAAGTGCTCTGTTTTTAGTAAACCTGTCTGAAGCCCTAACACCATACATTTACTTTGAAGGCCAATGTAGGCAGAACAGAGGCACTGGCTGGAGACAGTCCCCAAGGCTGCATGGTAGAAGTGCGCCACTCAGTCTTCCAGCAGGAACTGCCACCTCTAAAAGTGCTCTAAGGCACACAGACCACAGCAGACAGCAATTATGTTGGTTATTTGTTATTGTTCCTAATAACACATGCTCATCTGCATTCCAAGAGAACAAACCCTCACGGCTAAGTGCGTTTAGAACCTTTGTCCACATCCTGTTGCTAATGTCCCACAGACCTGAGAAGGTTTGACTATTGGGGGTCAGCAGCATAAGAATGTACAGTAACACCTTGGTTTACAGATTTCATTTGTTTCATGATTTGGGGAGATGTCTGAGTTTGTGTTTGCGCGGAGAAGGCGGCTGCACTTGTGTTTGTCACCCAATGAGGAGTTTGCAAAGAAAAGCAAAATTTTGCCAAATGCATCTGTTTGAGAACTAAATTGTTTGCAAACAGAAGCATTCACGAACTGAGGGGTTACTGTGCTATGTAAACCTTATTTAGAAATAAGCTGTGGATATTAAAAATAAACCACCCAAAGTCCCAAACTTTGGATGAAAAGGATGTAAAGCCTCTTACTTTAGCAAAACTGGACATGACTATGATTATTTGCCAGTAAGATATTCAGACGGCATCACCGATAGAGGTTTAAGCTACCTGTAACCCAAATACAGCTGCCTCCTCTAAACCCGTTCACCCCTGGGTTTTCAGAAAAAAATGTATATGTCCCAAACAACAAAGAGAAATCTAAATCAGCAAAGTTTGGAGCAAACAAATTAATTAACATAGTAAAGAAAGATCTGAACGCTAAAATGTGTCAACTTCCTATGAAAGGCATATATCTTAACAGACAAAGGGGTAAAATAAAATATATGCTCTTTCCATATTCCTTTCTCTAGGGAAAGGACGTTTTCCACTCCCATTCCTTGGGGGTGATTTCAAAAGCTTCTCTGCTCGCCCTGAGCTCCCACTCTGCTACCCCATGCTCCAATCCAGTAACTTGCAGCACTACCAGACAGGACCGCCTTCTTATAATAGAGATTTCAGACAACTGTGTGACTGCGGTTGCTGGGTTTAAATGTGCACATTAAAAGGGTAAGAATGGAGAGAGGATGCTGGTTAGGAAGCCACTGCAATGATCCTGGTGATGGAGATGGTAGCTTAGACTAGATGGAGTCACCACACCACTAAAGGGCTAGAGAATAACACTTGGTGAACAGAAGACTCAAAGGGACTTTACTTCTCTGACGAGGTGGCGAAGACGAATGGGGGACAGGGATGCAGAGCTGAGCTCTGACTACATCTTCCGTGTGGACACACAAGGTAAACGGTTACATGCGCACATCCAAGCTGCAGAGCACAGCTTTATCTTTTCAGAACTGGGGACTGAACCACAGTGTTTCTGTAAGAATGAGGTAAGCCTATATGAAGCGACAAAGAACAAGGGCCACGACGTTAAGCGGTGACAATAAAGAAACACAAACCGCTTGTACGGTGTGACATATACAAGGTCTTTTTAAGGCTACATGTGTATGTTTATGGACATCAACACGGGTATGGAAAGCTCCACAACTTGCAAAGATGGCTCTCTCCTAGGAGGAGAACAGAGTCAGAGGAGGGGGACCAGGGAGTTTTCGAGTCTGTTCGGCTACTTCTGCTGTTCACCCCTGGCTGCCATTTCAAAATGTCGCTTAGGAGATCCATGCTATTTCCAGTTCCTCCTTCTAAACCAATCACAGCCACCTCCTTTCCAGCCAGTGCTCAACCCTGGAATTAGGCAGCAACTCCCAGGCAGTGAGTCAGCCATCTCTGGCCTCCTGGAGTCCCTGGGTGCCAGTCAATGCTGAGTCAGCCCTTCCTGACCCTAAGAGTCACATAAGAGTCCTGAAGAGCTCCATGGAAACCCCCACCTAACTATCCCTGAGGTAACCGTCACCTCTTAACCTCCATTTCAAATTTCTCTCCACAGACACTACTTACAAAATGACCTCATCCAAAACATTCCCCCTCCTGGGATTCTCTGATGCCCTCAGAATCTCTGGTAAGTTAAGGAGGTATGGAGCCAGTTATAGGATATTTCCTCTGAAAAACATACGTGTGGTTTGACTCCTACAACTTTCTTAGGCAGTATCTATCATACCACAGAATCTAAGACAAAACTTCTAAATTAATAGGGTTTACATACGTTACATAGAGAAAAATGTTACTGGATGAATAAACACGGTCATTCGGGATGTCTAACGCCTGCACCCTAAATTCCAACCCAGATATTCCAGGCCTGGAGAGATCAACAGAGGGGATTTTAAGAACTTGGAGAAATGGCAACTGTTCTCCTGTTAGTGTCTCAACATGTGGTTTTTGAGTTCTCAGAAAGTTGGAAACACAACTATGCCAAGCATGATGCATCCTAAAGAAAACACAGTATGAAAACATTTGTCATGACCCACATTAACACGAGGCTTGCTGTATTAGAGAATAAAGTGTACAGGAGTATGTTGCATGTATGCATGCCTGCGTGTGTGTATTCTATTAAAATGCCTTTCCACAAGCTTCCTTTGATGTATTTAAAGAATATGAGCAATGCAAAAACTATAAATTTTCAAGTAAACACAATTTTAAAATGGTTTCCATTACCAACTGTCAAACCAGTCAGAGAACTCTGAGAATTCCATGAATTAATGAAGTTACTGATAGGGTTTGTTAAGTTCCAAAGTAGGAGTTCCGGGTCTGCACAATTAACTCTAGTCACCTCACTGCCTAGCGCAGTAGCTTTTTTGGCACACTGTACTTCCAGGGTGTCGATGCCAACTTGCATTCCCTTCCCTTTAGTTACTGACTCCAGGTCCTTCTTGTACTCTTGCTGTAAAAGATAACATTTCACAACATTCAGACACTCCATAAACAAACATGTACTATAGTCACTGACAGGTTAAAAAAAAAAACAAAACAGCCAAACATATTTAAAAAGAGAGAGCGCACAGTCTAGTTCGTACCCTGAATGATCCACCAGAACTAAATTTTCTGAACTGCATAGGACTACAGTGCCATTCTTACTGAAAAAGGACATATAAAGCTCTGAAGATTCTCAGTGTTTGGAAAAAAAAGGCAATTACCAGGTGAGAATCTTCATGGAAAACCGTCCTGCGGGCTGGGGGATAAGCTTACAAGTGGGTGCAAGTGGGCTGGTGTTAGAGAAAGAGGGCTGCCTTTGGGGCCGGAGCACTCAGTAGCTGTGTGACACTGAGAATGTCTCTGACCACCTCTGGGCTACTCATCTGTACGGCAGGGATGATGACGGATCCACGCAGGGCGCAGCACGAGAGTCAGTGAATCCACACATAGCAGAGGCCAGCACACAACTCCACACTGAGAGCTCTCCTTGGTCCTTCATCACCACGCCCCCCACACCCCTCCATCCTTCTAATACCGACTGATATGTGGACTGATGAGTTGCAACTGCTACTATCCTACTGCCACTCAACTGCATCTGGCTGGACTCTGCCATGGAGGGTTTGATACAAGTTTTCCAAACGTGATTGACAAGTGATTACAAGGCCAAACTGTGACTGGGCACAGCACTGCCACAGAAGAACTCGGAACTTCAGAATCGCGCGATAACAATGTTGGCCAAAGATACTTCAGTGGACATCTGATGCCTGTGGTGGACTGGCACCCACTCCTCGTCCTCTGGCAAAAAGCGCCACGATTTTCTTCAGAGAATTACCTCTAAGCCCTGCCAATCCGTGTGCTTTCCGAGGACTGATTTTAAATACCTTCCTCCCCTCCTCTCCACCTCCTCCTCCTCCTCCCTCCCTCCCCCCTCTCTATTTATTTTGGGACACGGTCTTGCCAAGTCACTAAGCTGTCCAGATAGAGCTGGAACTTGCAATCTCCCTGCTTCAGTCTCCCAAAGTGCTGGGATTACAGGTGTGTAACACTCCGCCAGGCTTTCCCATGTGTTTTTAATTCCAGTGAAATGCTTTTAAAATTTTTCATGTATTTAAACAGCATAAACACTGCCAAGGTCAATATGGTATTTTAAACTACACATAAATGCACTGTGTTTTGTGCTTGGGACACTGTTAAATGGCTCAGGAAGTTAACTAAGCCAATGGATCATGTGAGAAGCCATCATCAAACTGCAGTCTTCTGACCTCAAACACAAAGACTGGGTCAGTGGTGAGCCCAGAACAGAGTTGATCTGAACAGAATCAATCCCAGGACCCTCCCTGGAACTCCATAAACCAGGCATCCACATCCCACTGGCATTAGGAGCTATTCTAGGGTGATCTCATGGCAGCAGCCACCCAAGAGTAAAGTGAACAGAGAAGACCACAGAATGGTCAGATGAAGGCCGACGGATTTCATTTGACCACCAGAAAGAAACTGGATCTTGGACTTTTCTAGTCGATCAAATAACATATTCCTTTGTCACATAACCCAGTTCAAACCAGTTTCTGTACCTAAGAGGACTGTCATCATTCTGTCCTCCTCAATGTCATCATCACTACAGCCCAACAAATGGAGACAAAGCTGTAAGCTTTTTGACTGCTAAATTCAGCTAGGTTCTTCTCAAAGCACAGTGCCATTACATGATACCAAAATAATGGCAAAATACAAGGAGTAAGAGACAGAAAATACTTTGGAGACATTTTGTTTCTTCTTATAAATTCCACAGGAAGTGAGAGGTGGCCACTCTCCTGGGATGAAGAGGTTTAATGGAGCAGCTAGGCAAGGGTGGGGACAAGGGGGTGAGCTGAGAGCAGGACAACATGAACTTTCCCACCGCCAGGACTGACCAATCACGTCAGCAGACTTCCTAATCTATAGCTTCTTACTTGCTGAGAGATCAAGTCAAATCTCATAAAACTGTTTTGGCACATTATACAGATTTTTTTTTTTAACCAGGAATCAAACTCAGGACTTTGCACTTGTGAGGCAGGCAGCAAAACCACTGAGCTAAATCCCCAGCTACACAGATTTTCTTAAAGATGGGCAATGGTCATTTTTCTCATAATACTTAGAAAGTAGAGAATGAGCACTGATTTATTTTAAATTCATCATCTGGGAGAAGGCTATTTACCACTAGGACATAGTTGATTATATAAACTTTATAGAATGTTTATTGGTAAGGAAATCAACTGAAAATGTGTACACTGTAAGTTGTTAGGTAAGTTTACTCACCTCACTTGCTATTTCAGATGCTCGTTTTGCTCTCTGAATATCCAGAACTTCCGAATTAAGTTCCATTCCTCTCCCTTTTATTTCATTTTCCAAATCTTTTTTATATTCTTTCTATAAGATAAGAATATGGCCATTCAAAGCTTACCAGAAATTAACTATTTCATGTGTTTTCTAGATATCACAGACAAAAAAGTTATCACTAGGAAGGAAGGAATTAGATTTTCAGATATTCATGCTTAGTTCTCACAGGAATCTCATTTTCTCCTCTGTCAAATTCAGAGTGGGATCCAATATTACCAGTCTTTTCTCTATTCTTTCTCCCAATATGTTTTAGAGCCACCATGATTTGTGAAAAAGATGCCTTTCCTCTCTAGCAAGGAAGATCTTAAGACTGCATGCTATTGCTTATTCGAAGTATTTAAATTGTCTATTAAATAGGAATTAGCAAAAGAATATAGGTGGAAAGGAGTGGAAAATTACAAAATTAAAAGGATTGCTGTGGCCAAAGTTTTTTTTTTTAAGTTTCCATTTTATTCAAAGATTTGTAAAACCAAATAATTTCCCACAGATTGATCATACAAATTTGAATTTCTCCTTTTATAAATTATATTTCAAGTAGCTCCAGATGTCCAACAAATGCTTCTACAGAACTTGCTATTCTCTGGTCATGAGTTGCTTGTTATCTTACTTCACTGCACTCTAAAATAATTAGTCTCTTCTTCCCTTTAAACTAAGTTTCATTTATGACTTGTTTGCCACATGAAAGATGAAACTCCTTTTAATGATAAGAAATCAGGTTCCAGTTAATTCTAGGGTGCATTTCATGCTATTTCCCTTTTGTCTCCTGTAATTAAATTAGCCCATTCTCTTCTCAACTAATAATTTATTAGGTACAGTCACGGTCTGCCCAGCTTCATGGAAACAGCTCTGAGTCAAATGACCCAAGTGACGAAGCTCTCTCACTTACTTGGTTATATGACTTAGCCTTGATTTCCATCTTAAAAGACGGAAATAAAAACGTGTGTTCTACCAGTGTCAAAGACCAATAGAAGAAATCAAATGAAATTAAGGATAAAATGATACTTCAGACACTCTAAGTGGCAATGTAAATGTAACAGCCATAAAGTAAGGAAAGTAATGTCCACTTACAGCTCAATGCATACCCTTAGAAAAAGAAGTTGTAATTTCATTAAAACACCAAGTACCTGATTTTAAAGTTAGACATCTCTATAACTTAATTAAACATTTTGAATCACACTTGGTGTGGACTAAATGTTCATGTCCACGTAAGTCATACGTTGAAGCCCTAATGCCCAGTGTGACTTATTTTGGGGGTGAGAGGTGCCTTAGGTTTGAGTGTGCCCCCCCATGATGGGGCTGGTGGCTCTGCTGGAGGAGAGCAAAGTTCTCTTTCTATGAGGACACAGCAAGAAGGCAGCTGGCAAGCCAGCAAGAGAGACCTCACCGGAAACCAATCCACCAGCACCTTAACCTTGAGCTTTCTAGTCTCCAGAGCTATGACAAATGTCTGTTTTTAAGCTACCCAATCTACAGTACTTTGTTATATTAGCCCATAGCAGACCAACACAATAATCTTATCCTGTACATCTATTCTGAATTTATAAATCCACATTATTATCAACTTAATCTTGCTGTATTTTGTTTAATGGAAAAGTTCTTGGCAATATTATTTTTACATTATTTGTTTTCAGATAATTAATCATATTTCTCCCCCTTATACTAAAGGAATAAAAGAAAAAGGCAATGGCATATATTAGTCATTTATGGATCTCAAAATAGTCCTTATATTGCCATTTGTGTGCCCAAAAAAAGACACTCCCTTAAAAATTCATGCGAACAGCACACACTTTTTAAAGAGAAGGCAGTAATAATAGTAGGAAGTTGCCATCTGATTCATCTTCAACTTCAAAAACAATTTATTGAAACTAGAAGTGAAAAAATAAAGGAGCAAGAGCAATCTCACAGAAATTACATGCCTATTCAGGGAAGCGCTGTTACAATAATGACTCATGTTAAATGTCTAAGCCCAGCAACATGGTACTGGCCAGCTGGCATTTGTTTATTAACAAGTTTCTGCTGATGCTCTTCTCCATAGAAATTACGCTTCAATTTATTTCGCTGATTGAAGATACTTCATTCGGGAATCATTTTTTTGACTCAAAAATTCACCTGAGGTGAAATTTCACTTTCTATCTTTAAAATACATGTTCCATTTATTTGATATATAATTATTTCATTATACTTATCCCATTAATATGATCCCAATTACATTCAGGGAATACTTTCTATTTAGGCAGAGTTGGAAGAGCTCAAGGTTACTTTTCAGCCATCTAAAAAGCACACACAGTTAAAAGGGGTGGACCGTGGACATGATACTTTATTGTTGTTTTTTGTTTTGTTTTGTTTTGGTTTGGTACCGGGGATTGAACTTGGGTCCTTGCGCTTGCAAGGCAGGCCACCAAACTGCTGAGCTAAATTCCTGGCCCTGGCATCATACTTTAATTGTCAAGTCTGTAGACGTTACTGTTGGACAAACATATTAATTCTGAGCCAAAATTCATCTTTATATTTGGGGAGAAAGAATGAAATGAAAAATGGACGTAGTTCTATGTGCTAATTACATAATTTTCCCAACATTAGGACGTAATACCATTGCTCCAGACTTTCACATGGGAGTAATACCATTGCTCACTTTCACATGGGAGTACCTCATTTCTGATACTGAATGCCATAACAATGCACAGGGAAGCTACCAAACAAGCTGATTCTAATATATTTTTATAATAACTAAATTTGAAAGAATCGAGTTTGCTCCAACTATATTCAAAATATATTGTTTAGAAACTAATGCTATGATGTTATTTACCACAGTGCTCATATAGCTTCTCAACTATCACTAAAAGACAAAAACCACATTTTTTGAGTTTTTCCAAGAAACTTAGGTAATTTCTTCCCTTAGCTTTAAACAGATGTGTCAACACACACTTGAAAGGGTAAAAGTTCATATTTCACACACTCAATTAGCAGAAAATTGTGCAGTAAATATTTCCTGGGTTATTGCTTTAGATTTCTTTTATGATATTTAAAGTAAGAGCCTACCTCCCTCAGAAGGTTGGTTATGTATTTCACATGTAAAAATTCAGGAGTCTTGTCTAAATCCAGTGAAGACCTTCCTTTAATCTCCTTCTCAAAATCCTCTTTGTAAACTTTCTGTAAAATGAGAAAATATATTAAACACAGGAAATCCTAGTGACTGCTGAAAACATATCTTCCCAAATGAGTTACAGACTTCATATTACAGTGATACATGCATACCCATGTTCATAGCAGCTAATAATAGCTGAATCTTGCAAGCAGCCTGTATGTCCATCATCAGATGAACGGAGAAAGAAAATGTGGTACTTATACACAATGGAGCACTACTGCGCCACAAAGAAGGATAAACTTGAGCCAACTGTAGGAAAAGGGATGCACCTGAAGACCATAATGTTCAGTGCAATGAATCAGACATATGAGTTTAATAATGCAAACATTATGTACTACAAACAAGTATTAATAAAAATTTTTTAAATGTAAAAAGAAAAGATATGAGAGCAAGAGTTCCTAGAACAAAGGGATATTTTCTTACATAATTCTACCTTCTCAGAGTCTTATCCACCAGAAAATAATTCCAACTTAATCCTAAATTTCAAGATTCTGCCAAACAGAAGCAAAAACATCAAGGATCATCACATCCCTCTGAAAACTCATTCTGCACGAGGTTGCTTAGCATCTAACTAGCCTGATTAACATCTCCGCCTTCTAGGGCAGGAGCCAGTGCCATGGTTATTTGACTGGATAATCTGATTGGTTCACTCCAAAGGAAGTAGATCCACCCCCTGGAAAAACATCGGAGGCTCTGAGACCCACTTAAACCAAAGCAGCATTCATGGTCACAGTGCTTTCATCCTTCTCATCATCCTTCTTTTGCGAATTCAGGAAACACCATTTCTAAAATGCATTGCAGGGAAATTGGGGAAGGCACAGTAATTTTTGTTTAATAATGTGGGCACTGAGAATTTCTCTACCAATTAAGGAATCTGACATGAGTCAGGTACACTTTAAGGAAAATCTTGCTTTGAACCTGGAAAATCCCTCCCCATCCCCGTGGTACTGGGGATTGAACCCAGGGCCTTGGCACCTTCTCTCTGAGCTATATCCTCAGCCTTTTTTATTTTTTATTTTGAGACAAGGTTTCGTTAAGTTTCCCAGGCAAGAGTCAAATTTATTCGCCAAATACCTTATCCCAATTACATCATAAGATGATAAAAATAGATGAATTCTTAGTGAGTTGGTTGTCCACACAAAGTGTGAAGCTATTCTAGGTTCCTTGTGTATTTATTATAGAGAAAGGTAACTGAATGGATAAAGAAAGGCTCCAAACCATGAGAGAGAAAGAGAGAAGCATGTCACCTCCTCCCTCAGCCTTTGTGTACAGCAACAATGAGTATCCTGTAAATCTAATTGAGAAACTGCACTGGGAGGCTTGAGAATTAAAGAACTGTCAATATCCCAAAAACAAAAACGGAAAACTTTCCTTTTTGAAAATTGGAACTGATCTAGGTAACAGTTTATAAGGCTGAATTCAGGCCATGTCTAGGCTAACGGGATGCTACAAAGTGAAATATAAATATACATGTTTGAGCATTTATTTATTTATACCTGATATTTCACTTCAAAAAGTGTTTACCACGGACAAAAATCATTGATGCAAGTCATTAAGGAAAGTCAACTATGAGTGGAACTACCAAAACAAAGATGAAAAAACTTCTCACTAAGTTTTTGCTAGAAGAGCTATGTTTATGAAAGAGAAAACTTTTCAAGAACAGATTCAGAGGTTTCTTCTTGAAAACAAACATAAGGATTAAACCTACATCTCGCATTACAAGACAGTGCGACAAGCTCAAGTAAAGGCCCTGGCAAAGACTTTGCTGGCTCGTCCTGAGAGTGTAAATATTCAGCTTTCCTCAGAGGAGGCTGCACAAGAGGGGCAGAGTCAAGCCCACCTCTGAGGAGCGGAGCGGGCAGCACCTCTGACACAACGGACTCGCCTACCTCACCGGGACCATACGTAAAGGCATTTCCACAGCAAACTTTTCGAAAGATAGATACTTGGCTTTTCTAGCCTTCAAAGAATAAATTTGGTCCAAAGACATTTGCTACTGCAACAGTTTGCTCTCCTCCAGCCCTACAGAGCAGAGGGAAAGTGAGGAGCCTAAAAATACATAATACTTATGGCTATAATTAAAGGGGAAAGACGTCTCCCTTGGCAGGAGGGAAAGGATTAAACTGGGTGAAGGAAAGGCAGAGACTATGACAAGAAATGTGGCACTAAAACTCAAAATCATACATCACTATTCTTTCAAATTCAGAAACGTGGCGTCAGAGGGACTGCATGTAGTAAGGTCTGGGGTGTGTGGATGGGAGGAAAATTAACTGCTGAAGAGTACAGATAAAAGGAGGAACCGCGGGGTGAGAGGGCTAAAAGGGTCCTCAGCACAAACATTTCTGTAGCCAGAGATCAACAAAGGCAAGAGGGGAATGGAGACAGGGAGCCAAGGGGACTGTGCGGAAGGAAAGGGTGATGTCTCCCTCCTGACACACCTCGGGGATGTCTGAAGATGAACGGAACCACTCTACAGAGGGCAGATGCTGACAGATCCCTATGCAAGGTTTTGTCCAGATGTCATCATTTCCCCCAGTTTTGATCTTGCTACTGGAAAAAGGCCTGGCCATTGAGCACCCAGCTGCTCAGCACCATTATTTCTGCCCTTTTGAAGTAATAACTCAGTTGTTTACACAGAACTTGGATTTTGGCTATCGAGGAAACCTTATACCCGTATGCCTGGTCCCCAGAACAGGAGAGGAGAAGAAATTTCACTGGGACAGAGAAAAACCATGAGGAATATCTGGATGTGACTCAGCATTATCTTGGGTTAGGGACAAAGTAAGTAGGGAAAAAAATTCAACTATTCACTGAGCTAGAAAAAGAAATCAATTAAGTTCATAGAAAAATGGAATTGTGCATGATTTTGAACCCAACCTAAAGCACTGGCATTTACTAGATATGTAATTTTATTTAACAATTAATTTCAGTGGATATATTACAAACCTAGAGATAACACTTTCCTAGCACCATTACTTTGAAGATTAAGTGAGCACACATATATAAGGCTCTTAGTGTATCACCCAGCACAGAATAAGCATTTAATAAATGTTGGTTCTACTGCTATTAAAAGGGGGAAAAAGGTAAAGCAACCAGCCCTTCATTTTCTTTTAGCATTTAGATACTCGCCACAGTTTTACAGCAGTACAATCTAAAAATGTTGGTTGTATAATCATGGAATCATGATTAAAGGAGATGTTAAGAGCTTATCTGGCTTGATAATCATATTTGCCAAATGAGAAAAACTAAGACCAATGTCAAAGGCCTGGACAAGACTCCGGTAGTGGGCTCCAGGTCTAGAATGCAGGCTTCTGAATCTTTCCAGAGCTGTGCTCTTCCCTCTGGACCCGCTAAACAGCCTCAGCCACTTTGGAATGACAGAACATCTCATGCACAGGAAACACTAACTGATGACAAGCCCAGCAACCCACCTCGCTTTGCATCTTTTGGGCTTCCTTTGATGCTTGATACGATGGCGTCTCAACAAATTCAAGCATTGACCTTCCCTTATTTTTCTCATACTCTTCTTTATATTTAAACTTCATTGAAAGAAACATTAAAAGAACATAAAAATGAGGGTTGGAGATGTCACACTCAGTGGTAGAGTATGTGCTCAGCATGTCTGAGGTCCTGGGTTCAACCCCAGCACCAAAAGAGAAAATGAAAAGAAAGAAAAGCATATAAGAAAAAGTCAAAAGTCCACATATCGATCAAAGTAAAATAAACATGTCCAAAATGAGCCACACTGCTTTCTAAAACCAAGTTATTCAAGCTATTCAGAGTGATCACTGAGTTCCCGCAGGTTAATGACAAAGGAAATAAATGGGTGATACATAAATTTTTTTAGGCATAAAACTTAGACCAACTAAATAATGCAGTTGTATAAAGGAAAGGACTATATAAAGTACTTTGTCAAACAACACAGTGCATATATATATATATCATATATATATATATATGATATATATATATATATATGATATGTATATACATATTCCAGGTATTTAACAAGATGTATATTTAAAGGGATGAAGAAAAGGAGAGAGAGGAAAGGATCCTAGTAAGAAAGTACAGGTCTGATCCGCTATCTCTCTCAAAAGAACTGCTACATTTTTCTATAAGGCATTGAATAAAACATAAACACAGATCTTTGATGTGATTTTTTTTACTATGTATTACTTAATATTATATTGTGAATTATTATTGCAATTATAGCCAACTTCATCTTATTTTAGTTTATAAAATGAGTGAGATTTTCTATGTAAAAACAAAAGTTAAAATTATATGTTAGCCATCAGAGTGGTTGACTTTTTGGCAATAAACTCTTTTAAATTAAATTAAGTAATTGTGATCAGGATTCACTTTATCAAAAAATGCATTTTCATTAAAAGTCTTAGGTATAATAACTTCATGAAACTACTTTTCAAGTTTTATAATAATGAGGATGTTAAAGATAATTTAACACAAAGGAAGTTTTTAATACTTAAAACTCTGCAATGACAAATAACTTTTAAGTATTTTTTAGTAGATATATTTTTTTGCAGAAAAGTATCAAATGACATTCAAAAGTGTTTAATGTAGGCAGGGATTTAGCTCAGTGGTTCTGCTGCCTGCCTCCCAAGTGCAAGGACACAAGTTCAATCCCTGGTACCAAAAAAAAAAAGTGTTGAATGTATAACAGTATACTATTTTAGGATAAAGTTTAGTGGAGAAAAAAATGAAATGAAAATAATTTAAAGAGATTAAAATGTGTATTTCCAAACATTAAAGGGGAGCTATTTTATGTTTTTTTAAATAAATGAAGGTAGGCATAACATTATGTTTCCCAGAAAAGAGTCATGTAAATTTTTGTCTTAACAAATGCTAGAAATGGCATCTTCAGAAATTGTCTAAACTCAGAATTTAAAAAATAGGTGTAAGCTTTAAAGTGTGATAGGAAGAAATCTTTAAAAGTCTTTTCTAGGGCCGGGGATTTAGCTCAGTGGTTCGGTGGCCTGCCTTGCAAGCGCAAGGACCCAAGTTCAATCCCTGGTACCAAAAAAAAAAAAAAAAAAAAAAAAAATTTTTTCAAAGAGAACAATTCTGGTGAAATCAAAATATAAAATTATGAAGACCAAATCAAATTGACAGTGGTGACTAGTATTTGCTCAAAGATCACAATGGGCACTCAAGACCAGCAGCTCCCAGATGACGGAGGTGCTGCTGTGGAGGTGGTGAGATGGTATGAAGAGTTTTTACTTGTGAGTTGTGGTTAAAACAGTTTAAATGCCATTGCCTTAAAGGCAGGAAGTAGACAGGGTAGGGCCAGGGAGAGAGGACAGTGTAAAAAAAAAAAAAAAAAAAAAAAAAAAAAGTCTTTTCTAAGGTACACAGGACTTCATAGTTGCAAAACACATTAGGATACAATGGCAAGATTGTTTTCCCTTTTCAATAACACTTATATGTGAACAACAAACTGCAACTGGAAAACTTTGCTGCTCACAATAATGAGTCAGATTTAAATCATGAGCTTTGCCGTAGTTTACCTCCTGCACTAGAAGTTTTTAATTACGTGAAGTGACTGTTATTTTATGAAATTCCTTTGTAGTGAAACACGGGTCAAGCTTTTCTGATCCCATCAACAGGAAATGGTCCTGAGATTTCCGGAAGCAACATTGAGGTTTCCAGGATCTACACGTTCCAGCAGCTGCACTTTCCCAGCTGAGGTGCACGGCAGCAAGGCAAGCCGTGGGGGCCACTGTGGCGCAGTCCTGGGGGCGCCCAGTGGGCGCATGCGTACCTGACTCTGGAGGGCGGCGTTGCCTCTATGATGCAGGTGTTCCGAGGCGTCGGCATCAAAATGGTACCTGCCTTTGTTTTCCTCAAACAGCTTTTTATACTCTCTCTAAAATACAAAGCATGTAAACAGATTTAGGATAGAAGAGACTGACTAGAGCCATTCATACTTAGAAAGCAAACAAAAATGCAAGCCACCAATGCGAGTCAGTGCAAGTCTCCATGAGCGGCACGTTCCCACCGAAATAAACAAGCAGCAGAGCAATTCTGGGTGGGCAGCGTGGTCAGCACAGGGAACAGTCCAGAGTCAATGAGCTGAGGACACAGCATAAGGGACAGGCACAGCACCAAGGAGGGGCCAGGCAGAAGCCGGGTGGAGCTGGATGATGACTCTTGGAAGTCAGGAGGGAAATAAGAGAGTAAGAAATAATTCAACTGATTTCCCCAACTCCAAGGGGTAAGAAGCACCTGGAAGAGAAATTGAGGAGTTTGGGCAGAGTTGTTGGCCTTTTTCGGGTGAATAAACTGGACTGAGGCTATTGTTGAGACACAGGTGAAAAGATAACTTAGGGACAGACCAGACGATGGGTGCTCTGTTTGTGGCTGCAGGGCCCGACACACAACAGGCAGCAGTAAGGCAGAACTGCTTCAAGACTTTCCTCCCTGGAGAACCGACACTTTGCTGTTTTGCCCTATTGGTTTGGGAAAAGACTTCAGAAGTAAACAGTAGCTGTCAGGCCCTGGAAACTACAGAGACTTAAGAAGCTAAAATTGGTTGCTCATCACAATAATGGTTCAGGGAAAACAGCAGTGTTGTGGAAGGAGAAAGGCTGCCGGTGAGAGCTGGCCACGAAGAAACTGACACTGCATCTTGGGAGACGCTCGGTGGATGGGCGAAGGCGAGGGGAAAAGAGCCCTGTGCCAGGGATGGGGAGGCGGGAGATCCAGGTGAGCCGCGCCAGGTGGCTGCTCCATGGGGGACAAGCAATGGTCCACAGAGGAATCCTCATCTCGCCTGCTTCTAGTCAACTAGGGAACAAAGTACCCTAAACCCTAACCAAAATAAAAGGAGGAGAGAAAGCACCAAAAGAGTAATGTCCACATAGCACATCTTGACTATAGAGAACGCTTTCTAAATGTTGGCTTTTCAACTGCTTTAAGAAAGAAAGAAAAAAAAAAGAGCCAGGTATGGCAGTGTACACCTGTAATTCCAACACTCAGGAGGCTGAGGCAGGAGGATCGCTGTGAATTTGAGGCCAACCTGGGCTACACAGCAAGTTCAAGTTCAGTCTGGAATGCATAATGAGACCCTGTCTCAAAAAAAATTCTTTTTGAAAAATAATGATGTATTTAAGACATCTTATAGTTTGATTAGAAGTCATTTTATAATCTATATTTATAAAATAAGCATGACTTGAAAGTAATAAATTAAAACATTGTTTAAAATCAGAACTAAACACAGCTTGGGTATTATATTTGGAATAAGACATACTAAGGATGGATAAATATTGTTCCCAACACAATTAGCTATTTCAGCTATGAAGACATTCAGAAACTCCTATTTTTAAAAAACAAAAACCAAACATACTTGAACTAAAATCTGCAAAAGAAATTTCCGGTATATGACCTTGTATTTCTACAGTCTTTGTTGCCTCCTTGTGGAAGTTACACAGAATAACATGCTATATATACACCTTTTGTTTAATTTATGTAACGCTGTAAGAGAAACTGAAAATTTTAAGAGCTCCATTTTCTAGGAGAAAGTGTTTCCTTAAAAATTTAATTAGTACAAATTTATAAGGAACTAATTTCACCCTACACACTACCTGTTAAAATAAAAAAAATCTAATGTATAACAAGGACACTTATCTAGAAGTCTTTTAAAAACAGCTATTTATAACAAACTGACAACTAATGTTGGCAGAAGTCTTTATTGCATAATCACTCATTCAACCTTTTACTAAAATTAAATTCTTTATAAATCAAAAAAATTTCAATCTCTACATTAAAATTTAAAAGATGACTTTCCTAATAATGCATGATAAAGTTAAGCCAATGTATTATGGTACAATTTAATAGGTAGGTACTTCGAAGTAGTGCATTTTTTTCCACCAAACTTTCTGACACATAAAATAATTATCCAACCTCAGTTTTTCTGTGAGGGAGACAAATATCTATGATCTAAGCAAAAGCACTGCCTGAATGAAGATTTTTATCTGCACAAATGATGAGTAAAGTAAGTGGAACAAGCCAGGCACCGTGGCATACATATGTAATCCCGGCACTCTGGGAGCCTGGGGCAGGAGGATGGTAAGTTCAAGACCAGCCTGGGTAACTTAGTAACTTATTAAGATCTGTCTCAAATATAAAATAAAAATGGGTTGAGAATATAGCTCAGTAAGAAGGCCTTGGCTTCAATCCCCAGCACCACACACAAAAAAAGTTGCACATATGATTTTGATGACTTCTCTCCATTGAAGAGATGCTAAAAACAATTTATGTTAAACTAATTTTTTTACATTATTATAAAATGAAAGTCAATTTATTTAATGAAGACTGTTAGTGGTATTAGGGTATGGACATGAATGTGCCCCCAAAAGTGCATGTGAAAACTTGGTCCCCAAAGCAGCACCACTTAGAGATGAGACTCTGGGGATGGCTGGACCCTGCGGGCTCTGACCCCATCAATGCATCAGTCCACTGACAGGTTCACTATCTGAAAGCCGCTGGGAGGCACTGGAAATGCAAGAGGTGGAGCTTCCTGGTTGCCATGGAGACAAGTGGCTTTGCTCCACCACGCTTTTCCATCATGCTGCTCTGCATGCTCCAAAGTCCTGAGCCAAAACAAGTCTCTCCTCAAGTTGTTTATTTCAGGTATTTTTGTCACACATGGCATACAGTCTACCAGATACCAAGCTGTTCAATGACCACTGTAATATTTTCATTGGCTGGTGTACACAGGAATCTCCACGCTCCTAGGTAATTTACCTGAATATGGATGAGGAATCAGCAAGAGCAGAGGCTACTGCAATGATCAAAAGTGACTGTGAAGACACCAGAGGGCTCAGAGGACAGAACAGGCTGAATCAGAAGCGTGCCTGAGTCACGGAGAAAGCTGTGACACTCAGGAATCAATGGGAGGTGCACAGAGAGGTAGGGATGACAATGGCATGGGAGGACAACAGGATTTCAGTGTCCTGGATCCAAGGGCTGATTCTGAGCCTGTCAGTATGGCTCGAGCCCTCATTTGTCACTCACAGACTGGAAAGAATGACACCTTTTAATCCAAGGACCAGTAATTCTTTAGGAAAGTGAATTAAGACTCTGGGAATATGAATGATTGATATGCATTATAGACTTTAAAGAGGATGACAATGGCAGTGACGAGGAAGAAATGAGAATCATGAACAGAAGTGTCAATGTATCAAAGCCAAGGACAGATACAGTACTTCTACAGCCGAACGGAAGCTGCTTCTCATCAGATCAGCTTGGGAGCTAAGTTTTGAGCAGCTTCAATTCAATGCCTGTGAGCTCATCCATGGAAACAACCGTCCTCACTTTTTCTCCAGCCTTGACCAACATACAATCCTTCATCTAATCTGAGCCTATTCAGCAAATCAGGAGAATTCTGAATGAGTGAGCCATTATTATAGAAATTATTCAAGGTCACACTGGAGTTCACCATCACCATGGGGCATCCTGAGAAGAACAGGGAGCCACGAATGACCCGGGTCGTTATTCAGGAGTAGCAGCCAATGTGCGGTTGGGACGCAGGAAGGGCTGATGTGACACACGGCCACGGAACACAGATCTTTTCACTGGGACATGAAGCACTTGCCATCTACGCCTTCACAGAGCACACAGGTGACATCACCAGACTAAATGCATTGGGGCAATGAAACAGCAACTCTGTAAGATTCATTTTCAGAGAAACCAAAATTTAGACTAAGGTGATGTTTTATGCTATTGGAGGCATACTAAATATCACAGTCTCTATTCTGGCCTGCATAACAGATCCCTCACTCACAAACCTGAACTTCACGTGGCTTCAGTCTAACACAGATTAAGAAGAGGAAAGAAGACTGACAGAAAAAGCACTTGCACAATCTGCCCTGAATGCGCCCAGTCTCATCCAATCTTGGAAGAAAGAACACTCCCCCACCTGCTGGAGGTGCAGTTGTACTCAAGAGATGCTGGGGAGCTACACAGCAGGAACCCCCTGTAGAAAGGGGCAGTTTTGGTGGGCTTCACACAAGCAGATACTACTTTTCGATGAGTGAGTTATTGGCAGTGGAATGGTGGCCAGGCACATGGTAGGAAGCAGATCAGCTCGTGAACATGGCAGGCAGATCGGCTTCTCACAGCTACATGACAGAGACAGCTGCCATCAGCAGCCCACTTACTCCACTGAGCATTTTGCTGGCTTTCAAGGCATGGTGTAAAAACAACAAATTTGGGACATCTGAAACCGGGGCGTGCATATTTTGAATGTCTTTCTTGTAATTCACCTATGAAAATAACATGGAACAAAATACCAACTCGGAGAAGAAAATATGCTTTTGCATTATTGCCACTGTCATTTTTAACACAACATGAAAGTAGCATTACCATTGAGTGGTCACTTGGTGGCTGAATTTATAAGCAACCACTAGATGGTGCTGATTCACTACTGAATGACTAAAAAGTTTTCTTTCTAGGGACAAGAAAATATTCTGTTAATTCCTTTTACTGTTTTCATGTTCGGAAAGGAGGATGTCAACAAAATCGTCATTATAACAGAAACTCGACTTTCAAAAAAATAAAGAGAGGCTAGGTGTGATAGTGCATGTCTATAAACCTAGCATTCTGGGAGGCTGAAGCAGGAAGATCACAAATTTGAGCCCAGCCTGGAAAATTCAGCGAAAACTTAGTGAGATACTGCCTCAAAATGTTTAAAAAAAAAAAAAATGTTTAAAAAGAGCTGGGGATGTGGCTCAGTACAAAGGCTCTGGGTTCAACCCTAGTACGAGAGGAGGGAGGGAGAAATAGGGAGGGGAAAGGAGAAGAAAAGAGCCACTTTATTCTTCAGACATTACTGCAGTATTTCCATTTTGCTTTCTGAAGATTTTTGTCCTTTGGTATTTTTCCTTCTGTTGCCATAGAGACCTGTTTTAAAGGTGATTTTGTTTTTACCAACTCCTTTGGAAATATCACTAGTAATAAAGTTATAAAATATTAATAATAGCAAGCAAGTTGAGCACTTACTATGCCAGAGACTTCTCTAAACACTTTACAAATGTGAAGTCTTTAATCTTCAAACAGCCCACTAGGTAGGTACCTTAAGTACCCCCACTTTATAAAAAAGAATCTGAGACACAGAAAGACAGAGGCATAAAGCGAAGGAACAGAATTTAAATCAAAGCAATCTGACTCTAAACCTTTAACTTTCACCACTAGGCTCAAGGTTCCTTTGCGTAAATTTCATCTCTAGTTCCTTTACATTTGTACCCACACACAAATCATCAAATAAAACATCATTCTGATATTCCCATGAGCCCTAAGAGACAAAACCTCCTATTTCAATTGCTAGGAATAAACAAAAGTTGGTTACTGAACACAAACAGTACCTTCTAAACATTCATGAAAGTAAAATAAACTAATTCCCAAGGAGATGATGGGATTTGAAAGGTTAAAATGATGTAACAAAGCCACAATTTGATACATTTAATTTTCATACTTTGATAGCAATCAATTTTTTCAATGTTTCTGTTTTATATTCTGCCTAATGTAATAAGAATTTAGAACATTATTTATCAAATGAATCTTGTTTTTAAAACATGAAATAAAAATAAATCTTACAAAGAAGTATTTAATATCTCTTACAAGAGAGATATGAAAGAAATTATATGTTGTTAAAGGTATAATTGCTAAAAATTTCTTTATGTTAAACTGCAGTGTACTAGGTACTACTTTATAATAAACCCAATTTCATGGACATAACTGTGAGTCAATTATTGTCCTACCTACTAATTTGTGATAATATTGCTTTTCTGCAAAACTCTATAATCTATTTCTAGTCTTATTCAGACATAATAATTTTATTTGCAATACTATTCCTACTTATTACCTAATTAGTAATGAGTAGCCATTAATAGTAAATTATAATAATATTTTTTTCTCAAAGAATGCTTCAGGAGAATATGCTTTAGTGTTTTCAACTACAAATTAGTTGGAAATTACATGATCTTGATTAAATATCAGTAATTACAACACAGTTCTGAGGAAACAAGAATCAAAAGATATTGGAAGTCACTTTCTGTGAATTATAACTTACATTACTCGCCAGTGTGGCTGCAAGCTGATTTTGCCTAAAAGAAGCACTTTCAAGGGGATTGTAATGATGTTTCTTATCCTTCATTTCATTATCAAATTTTTCTTTATATTTAACCTGTCACAAAAGAAAAAACAGGGTGTATTAAATAACACATTTAAGATGAAAAATAACACATTTGATTTTTAAACAGATCCAATGAAAAGCTACCTTAAAAATGAATGGTAGCACAGTATTAAGTTCCTATTATCCATGACCCTTTAGACATAATTAGACATAAATGAGCCACTTGAAGACTGATCATAAATGCACTCAAATTCTACTAATGAGAACTATGCACTAAAATATCAAAAGCTGTAAAAGCCAGCTTCTATTTCTATGCTCCTGCAATCTAGCTCAAACAGAACTCAAGACCCAAATACCTTATGATCTATCATGTTTGCATAACGGACTTGGTCCTTGAGTTTGAAGATGAATTTACCCAAGGAAATTATCCCAACTAAAAAGCAAAGTTTGTACTGTGGTTTTTCTCATCATTTGCTGTAGTTTACTTGTTCAAAAATTCATTTTCAGGGAACAGATTTTTGATATGTCCTGGGTCTACTTAATACATTTTTTTCTGTTTAGAGGGAGGGGGCTTTTTAAACTTATTTGTTTCTGGGTAACTGGAATCAAATTCAGGAACTTGTGCTTGCCAGACAGGCGTGGCGACACTGAACTACATCCCTGGTCCCTAAACGTATTTATTCTTATTACTAATGTTTGCAGCACCTAATGATCACATTCATCATGGGGAATGTGTACACGTACACAGCGCATCCTAATTCTTTCTCTTGTTGTGTGTGCCCTTCCCTTCTCCTCCCTCCAACCCTTCCTCTGCTCCCCACTTACCAAAGCTCTGCTGTATTTTTTAATTTCTCTGCTTTAACTCCACAATTTATTCACCAGGACAACTATCTCTAATATTCACTCTAAATTATTTTTTATTTTTTAAACAGACATACAACAATAAAAAAGGTTAGGCACTGTACCTTTCTCCATCGATAAAGAAATACACAAATATACACTCTAATTAATTGGATATAGATATGAGTTTTTACCAATGAAATCAGTAAATACTTAACTTACATCTCACACCCCTTTGATCTGTGTAGTCAAAGATGGCATAGCTTTCAAAAGCCAAAAGTAAGCTGTTTTGTTCTTTTCGCTATTTTTTACATTACGATTCCTACAATATTTCACTTTCTTATACCATTCTTATAAGGCTTGCTTACTCACACATCTAAGGCCTTGCCACACAGAAATCTTCAGGAAACAGCAATTTGGGGGTGACTCATAGCATCTTTTTCAGTCAAGCCTCTTAGGGTGACGGCCTCGTTGGGAGACCCATGTCCAATACAGATGAGAGAGAGTGAGCGAAAATCGGGGTGGGAACATAATAGCAATGGGAAAATATTTCAAGATGGCTTAGTAGAAAATATCTTCTGTGCAGTTGTACTTGATAATGACAACTTCCGGTACTCACATGGCCTTGTAAATTAATGCTACACAACTGGTGAAGCCTCTCTAAAACAAGAAAGATTTTGACTTTTTAAAAAACATTATTTTATATTCTGAAATGAGGGATGATGGCACAAATTTCTCAGTCGGGTTCCCTTCCCTGCTCTTCTTGGTATTTGGCACAGAAACGAAGGTTCTCCGTGCCTGGCCCTCCCTAAACGCACGGCCTGCCCATCTGCTAGGTGCTGCTCACCACATTTTATGAGTGATTTCGATGTCTAGGGGAATGTGCTCACCAGCGGTGGCTGACTCCCGCACTGGCGTCCGCTCACACGATCCTTCTTCTTCCCCAGATTCACCAGCGCACCCGCTTTCTGAGTCAAACCCTCCCTGCCTGCCGGCCAGAAGTCACTGACTGCCCTCAGCTGGAAGCTGCCTGCACCGCCGCGTCTGCTCCGGCCATGAACCGCTCCAGCCTCACGCATCACGGCTGCCCTAGTTATGTATCAGCTGAAAGGTAGGGCTGAGTCTACGTCAGAGTTCAGGGAGACCACGGCACTGTCTTTGTGCACCCCGGGGTTTCCTGGGCGACTGTACTAGGCACAGGCTGTGGCATTATTTGGAAATGAAAGTGGCAACTTCTTATCGGTTATTAAACCTGGCATGTGCTCCTCCAGGAAAATGTACATTTCTCAAAAACAATAATCAACCTGTCATTCATCTGGTAATGTTGAATGCAATAATAAGCAAAGCGTGGTAAATTTTATCTCGTTCTAACTTCTAGTAGTCTGAGTGATTTGAGTCAAAAGAGTTTTTCTCATTAATTAACAGCAAAGTAAAGTAACTGCATTATTCTAAACACACACTGGTCAGACACAAACTCACAACTGTTTCCTGCTTTGCTCTTTCCGTAAGGTTTGTGCACACATGAACTGAGGAAATGACCAATGGGCTTAAGAAGGCTGCATTTCTCCCCTTCTGACTGGTTCACAAACACTCTTAGTCTCTGTCCTGTTTTCACCCTGGAGTCGCACACCTGAGCCCCACCTCCTCACACACACACACACGTAACCCCCGCGAGACCCTAGCGGCGCTTTGTTCTGACTGGAACTGGCTGCCACCCAGGCACGAACGACGCCCAGCCCTTCCACTTTCAAGACCATTGAGAAAGGAGACATGAGTGGGTTTTAGATACAATATCACTCCTTATACATGAATTATTTTGGAAACCGGTGAAGTTACTTTTACTCCATATGACATGACTGGCTTTATTTACATCATGAATATTGCTCCTAGTGGTCCTGATATCATTTTTAAATTTAACTGTAAAATGCCTCGAAGTTTTCTAAAGAACTTTAACCTTAGCGGGACTTTCAGAAGCTGCAACTGCGAAGCTTCAACCATTTCATTTAAACTGGTCCTTGTAGCTGCAGCTGGCCAGAGCCAGTGGCACCCTGACATGAAACGCGACTTTCAAACCCAGTAAGGCTCCGGCCCCAGAGGTGCCCAGCTCATCTAAGATCTCACAAGCCACACTCACCAAGGGCCAGCAAAGGTGGGAAACTGTACATCCTGGAAGAGAACTGCTCTGTGTAGCCACAGAAGCCAAAAGTTAAGAAACTGAAATTTGTAAGTGTACCTTAATTACCCCTAAAAGTGAAAAGTAAAAAATAACCCATCTTTACATATCTATATGCATAAATCATTGCCAATTTTGGATGAAAATAAACTACAAATGGGCAAAGAAGACAGTACAAGTAGATTTCTTTTAAAACTCATGATAAAAATCAATCATATTTTTAAGTCTAAATGTAACACAAAACACTATCTCTGCCTTCATTTTCATTACAAACATTACATCTTCCTGGGTTTGTGCCAACTGTCAATAACCCAGGGAGAATGTGTTGAATCAGTCTCTATATATTTGACAGCATCATCTGTGCCACCCTGGAATGGTGGGTTAAAGATACAGAAGCCCAGATACTCAAGACACACGTGTATACAGAGATGTGACCCCTGTGGACTGTGTCAGGAACTGTACAGAAAAGAACAGAAAACACAGGAGAGGAGAGACATACAGTTTACTACCACAAATCAGGAAGTGACATTTAAGTGATATTTTGGATCTGAGGAGGTTGGCAGAATGTGTGCCAGGAAAGGACACTAGGCGATTCCTCAAACCAATGAACACCTTTTACAATTTAAGGCCAATATACAGACAATATACATTGCTAAATTTTTAGTATATGTGCTGCCAAAGTGATCACAATATTGCTAAAATTTTTATAGCAACCCACAATGTAATTTTTAGGTTCAGAACCCATTCTTTTTTTTTTTTTCTTTTTATTGAGTTTAATTGGTACATTTTAGGTATAGAGTACAGTTACATTCATCATTGGGATCTTGTACCTTTACATGACAGGTCTTGGTTCTCATTTTTTCCCCTTGTCCCTGCCCTCCCTTATTAATAGAACAAATGCAATGTTTGTTGTCACAAATGATAGTTATACAATATAGTGGGGACTCGGTTCATGAACTTAATTCATCCTACGATTCTGAAGATGGCTGCAGTCATGTTCCTGTGGGAAAGATGACCGCAGTCGTGTTTGTCACCTGATGCAGAGTTCGCAAACGAAAACAAAATTCTGCCAAATGCTTCTGTTTGCGAACCAAACTGTTCACAAAGAAAAGCGTTCATGAATTGAGGTACCACTGTACTACACATAGTTCTGATGTTATGAAACTAAATAAAGAATTCATCATGTAAATATCAAATTAAAAATTCACATGAATATAATAATAAATTAACCACTCCATATATATGTGCCAATCTCTTTTTCCTAGCACATGAGACTTTAGGTTTATTTTCTACTGGTTATTTTTAAAGATTTGACTATAATTTTGTGTCTTCCAAATTTAAAAAGGGAAAGTTTACAACCATGAGAGCAAAGCTACTGTAAGAGTTAGCACAAGAAGGGTCTGGTATGTGTTTCCATTAGCTTTTGTGAGTAAAATTCCACTGAGCTCAATTTACAGGTAAAATGCAAGCAACTTGCCCACTGGCTTTGGGAGTCGTCTTTTCATTGAGCACATGGTCTTAACACCACATACCATGACTACTGCGTCTTGTCGGGTCCTGGTCACTTACAATTCTTTGGGTGCTATCTTGCACTTTTCTTCCTGTGTCCTTCCTCCCCAACCCCCCCCCACTTCCCTGCTGACTGCATTCCTGAACCATTTCACCTTCTATGTATTTATGGGCCTTCGTCACTGGTTTAGGTATCCAGAGAATACATGGTCTTCAAAGTTGTCAATGAAAATTAAAAACTATCCTTTTTGCCTTTATTTCAAGAGAACAGAAATGAAACCTACCAAGGTCATCCCAGAATTTCTGTTTATCCATCTGCCCGGATTTTCTGGAGAGTTTCTGCACTATAAGATCAATAAGAACTTCACGAAAAGATGATGGGCACAGTCTAACTCGCAAAGTATAATCTGCCTAAGTGTCTGATCACTCCGTTGCTATAACTTAAGATTAAAAGAAAATCTACCTAAAAACCCAAACAGAGATCAAGCAGGAGGATTTCTTCCGAGAAAATTTGAAAAGTAAAACTAAAAGCTCCAATATCCAATTTTCCTTCCAAGGACTTTCAAATAGGATGGGGAAAAATGAATTTAAGATCATGGTCTAAATCAGTGTTCCTTTGCTTCTTCCCTGCTGTGTATAAATTCATCTGAAGAATAGAACAGAAAACACTCTGAGCACCCAGAATAAACTGATTGCTATGAAGTTATGCAATCTGTGGGCCAAGCGCCACTTCTGAGTACTCACAGCAGTGATTCTGAGAAGCAGATTCTTCTACTGGTGTCAGCCCCATTTACAGACGGAGGGGCTGAAGACAGAGAAATAAAGCCATTTATTTGCAAGCCAGTAAGAGAACCCAGAATCAGAATCTGACGCAGTTCACCCTGCTCCAGAGCCCACTTTCTTAACCTCTAAACCAAACCAGACTGCTCCTCCATGATCCATGCTACAGCTGATGGGAAGCCTGCACCCTTAAAAAAGCTAGGGTGGATTGCTGAGATTGCCCATCTCTTCAACAAGCATTATCTGCATGCAAAGAGCTCGGAACCACACACGTGCATCTTGGCCCTCTAATGGCAGTCATCCAAGAGCATCCCCAACCTTGCACGTCAGCAGCCTCCCGAGGCACAATGTTTAGTGAGTAAAAGTGCCTTGTAAACTGTAAAGCTGTCAGTGTGTGGCACAGGTACATTCAGGAGTCTCTTGGGTCTGCTTCTCCTGCGCATGCTTTCTCTCTGCTTCATTTTCATCACCAGGGATAGTGAGACTTTTAGGGGCCAATCGCTTCACATGTGATGGGATCACAGCCACGCCCAGCTGGCCTTCAGGACTTCTGTCTCTTGCAAGGCCAGACTTTCTGCACACTGCTGCTACATTAACCTTCTCGGGGTAACAAAGTCTGTACGACTTTTCCTTGCTCATAATTTTCGGTAATGTAACTACTTATTTTTTGGAGGCTGAGAGGCTACAGTTTAAATTGTGATAAGCTATTCTTGGAATTTAACTTTAAAATATCCACCATAATTAACATTTGGAAGTCACTGTCTCCTTTTACCGTTTCTTTCATAGCACATATTTTGATTCTAAAAAGAATGGAACTGGGGAGCTACCATGCAATAGCTGCAGAGTTTGGCCTACAGGATGAAAAGAGCCCTCCAAGTGGATGATGGTCATGGAACACATTATGAATACTTACTACCACTGAACTTTAAATGGTTCATATGGCAAATTTTATGAATATTGACTCCGACAAAAAATAAAGTTAACATGAGATAAAATCGCAAATCACAGCGAATGCTTAAATTTTTTAAATGTTATTACTATGAAAGAAACATTGCTGTCAATTTCCCTGAAAATTCACCATTTCACTTCAAATGCACTTATTCCATTGCTCTCGCCACTTTCCAAAGCAATTCTGGAAGTGTTCTTTCACGAGTCTTTATGAAGTATGATCAAAAACACAGTGCATGCTGCTGTACCATCCAGACACATGCGCACACACACGATTCCTACTCTTTAAAATAATGGCTATGGTCAAAATCAACAGAGAACTGATCCATTTCTCATCAGCCTCTTTCCAAATCCATTTATATTCACATCCATGTCTCCTGCCTGGAGCCACTACTCCTGGGATTCTCCTTTGCTTTGAGCAGAGCTTGCTCTCTCTTTAAAAGACCTAGCTCAGAGCTACTCTTACACAGCACCTTACCTAACGCTGTGTCCTTCTTTCATGCTAACAAAAGTTTGACAGAATGCTGAGAGGTACAGGTGATATTTCATTCTCATTTTGTTGGCATTTCCTTTCCTGCTAGTTAATGTGAGCATCTTTTTTACATGGTGAGCATTTATGCTTGTTCTTTGGTGAAATGTCTACTCACCTAATTTTCCACTTTTTTTTTCTGGGCTCTCAGTCACTTTTCTACTTTAAAGAAGGTGTATGTTTATAGTTTTGCCATATGTGTTATACAGCTACCCAAATATTCAAAGACCATTGCCTACTTTTTTATATTTTAAAAAACTTTCTCAAACTTCCTTTCTCTGTATAAATGCTACCTTACTATTAAATTTATTCAAATATTTCATTTTATTCTTATTTTTTAGAAGCCTGTTTGGATTCTAATTGGAATTACATGGAGTTGTTAAAATTAATTTTGGAAGAAATAACCTTCTCATAATATTGAATATTGAGCCTCTCAAGGCAAGAGCACAGTATATCTCATTTATTCAAGACTTAGTTCATATTCTTCAAGTTGGATTTTGTACATCTAACATTTAACATTTGTACATTTAACATTTACATCTCTCCATTTTGCAATGTATTCACTTGAGACCTTTGTAATATGAGAAGTGGAGAGTTTCAAAATTGAAAACACTACACATGTATAAAAAGTACCATTTATCACATTATTGCTCACTCTGCAATATTCCCTTTTCCAAGGAGTTTTTAATTTTTATGCAACTGATGTGTATAACTATTATTTTACATTTTCTCAGTCTTCAGTTTTATTTAAGCTCAACTCTGTTGCCCTTGTGTGGTATACACAGAGAGTCTCCCAGAGTTTTAACATTTCAAAATTATTTTGTTTGCATGCATACCTTTAATTCACCTGGAATTCATTTTTGCATACAGTTTAAGATCTGGATCCCAATTTTGTTTTTACCATGACAGATGACCAGTTATGTCAGCACCATTTATGAACTGATATAACTTTTTCCCACTGACTTAAGTCAATACTTTACCATAAATTCTTATAATGCTGGAATGCATTACAGGACTCTGTCCTATCCACTGGTTATTTTACCTCTCACTATACCAATCCCATATGGACTTAATTTCAATGGTTTCTGATCATCTATGGTAGCTCATAACTTAAGTTCCCTTCACTGATTTCCATTTTCATACCTTTAAAGGCTATTTCCCAGTGATTCCTTTCCATACAACTGTAAGATTACTTAATCCAACTTTTAAAAACTCTGTTGAATAGTAACTGAAATTACATGACATTCATATGATAATTATAGAGAACTGAAATTTTTACCTATTGAGACCCTTAACCTATGTATTTTTCGGATCCCTGTACTTTTCTCAAGTCTTATTTTATGTTTTTTAATAAGATTTTTACCACTCTTGTTTTATTTTCTGATTAAAATAATTAAAATTTGAGAAACTACTTTTATTACTAAGTTTAAAACTGTACATGTGTATTTTTGTAAATGTATAAATAGGAATATAATTCTTGGTGCAACTGTTACTAACTTCTGGAACTTCTCAGAAATGTGACATCATGATGAAATTCACTGAAACAAGTTCAGATATGAGCCTGGAAAAAGGAAAACTTTGTTCTAGGCTGAAAACTGGACTGATTTTTTTTGTTCCCTTGCTGAAATTTGTAATTATTGCAATCCTATCTGAAACGGCTTCAGAAACATTATCTCTGTTTATTCTTGCAATTAAAGATATTATCTAAAATGAAATATTTTTCTGTGTTCCTGGAAACAGAATCTCTGAATACAGTCATTGTGGAATCATCACTCTGGAGTCTTACTTGACTAGAAAGTTTAGAAGCTTCCACGGCGTGTTCAAAATCTGGTCTTCCAATTACAGAAGGCTCTTTATTCATTACTCCTTGCCCTTTCTTGTACTCTGCCTAAAATGAACAATAAGAAAATATTAAATAATCATACTTTCCCATGAAGAAGTACAGTACCATTAGTCAAAATAAAATATTCTTATCCCGTTAAAAATATGTCTTATATCAAATCAAGTATTAAAATAATGATGGCTGAAAGAGGACTTTTGTTGGTATTGCAGCTACTTAAATAAACTTGGCTTTTCACAGTAAAACAGTAACACTGAGCTTTAAGTATCCAGTCACTGTCATCTCCATATTTATTACAGATACTGAAAAAAATAGATGTTAGGGGAATTTCCAGATAACTGAAACCCTGTATGCTTCACATAGATAGCATTTATAGTTTTGTTTCTTCTCAAGAATCGATGTGATCATTGTGAGTAACATGCTTTTGAGTTTGGTAATTACTGATATTTAAAATGTATATAGCATGCGTTATTCCAATATGTAGTTTAAGTAAAATCATCATTTTTACCAGGATTTTGGATCTATGTAAGTAAAACGGTACTGACTGAGGAGAATATGTTAGAAAAGATAAAAGCAGCCGGGCCACGCAGCAAATGTACAGGGAGAGTGCAGGTGGAGGAGAATCCGCACAACCGACCACAACAAGATGGGAACGAGGCACAGTGCTTCGGATGAGAATGAGGTGAGAAACGACATGGGATCAGAGGACTCACGACTTCGCCCTTCTGGCCGAGACATTTGAATATGATCTTACATCTAAACAGAGTGTGTCACTAGCCGAGTCACACGGTACACCCACATAACCCACGTAATCAAAAGGATAATTCAGGGGAAAACTGAGGTGTCATTAATTCAGATGGACTGATTGCACTAATTAACCATCCAACTACCAAAGTGGTAACCTGTCTCTTAATAAAAACAGCAAACATCATTTCTGTACAAGATTAAGAAAGACAAATTACGTTGCTTATGATCTTGGAGATCTGGGTTGCCTTCTTGATGTCCGGCCTGTCGAGCTCTGCCGTGTAACTGTGGGTGTCCTGTATGTCTTTCCTGTAAGAAATCTGATCAAAGAGACTGTTTAAACTGAAGAAAAAATGAATAATTTCATGTAACCACTGGCCTTCATGTCAATAATATTATTTCTCTTTACCACACAAGCTTAGAGAGTCTACTTACCTTAAGTCGCTTTTTCATGTTTTGATGTCCAACATTCATTTTGACATATTAGCTCTTTATATCCATGGATAACATTAACATGTCTGAAATGAATCTATACTATGTAAGAGATACAAGAATAAAGCACAGAACCAGTCCTAAAGGATTTTGTATATACCTCTCTATTAACATGCATTTGTTTCTAAATGTGTACGTTTCTATTCACTATAGAATATCCAAATCGAGCACTACTTCCACTTGCCCTGCACACATTCTCAACCCCAGTGGATGCAGATTAAGCCAGCTCACAAACTGAGAAGGACGCAGTGAAGCTCCGCTATATCTCTCTCAGCTATATCCTTTTCTCCCTTTCTGGACTGGATTCTTCAAATGCTTATGCCTAACAGACCGAGTCACAGGTACCAACAGTTTTACTCTCTGATGCATATGAGTTCCACGACTTGATTTTCCCAAAATTAAAACAATTACATTAAGGGATATCCTCACTCTGAATGCATGTTAGATACAACAAAGCCAAAGGATGGGAAGTAGAGATTTAAAGGGAAAGATACGTAAGTTTTACCAAATGGAAAGCCTTTTCGACTGTGATACTTACATTAGCTTGGATGACAAATGGGAGGCGAAACCAAACTAAGCTGATAGAATGTCTGGTGGTCAGCACCTCACCCATCTGTTCACCGCTCCGGCTCTTGAAATCCGCCCTGAGCTGAAGCAGTGACTGCCAGATGTGGTTCTATCCAGCAACACCATCAGAGGCTGGCTGACTTTCCTCTAATAAAGTCTTCCATTCAAAAGTTACAATGGAAGGTATATGGATGGGAACAACCATTTTAAAAAACCATCTTCATTTTTTTCAGACAAAGGTAGAAATACGAACCCTAGAGACTTGTACAAGGTGCACGGTTAATCACATTTTGCACAAAGCAAGTCTTTTCAATTGCCTACAAACTTTGTGCAATTACACCATTCGGGCTACTTGTTCAAAATCTAGATCCCTGCGTTCTATCCATACACCTCTGGAATAGAATTTTGGTAAATGGGGCCAGGAATATGATTTTTTAATCATTATTAAATTTATTGGTACATATTAAGTATACAACACAGTTACACTCATCACTGGGATCTTGTACCTTTACATGACTTATCAGGTTCTTATTTTTCCCCATTCCCCAGTCCTCCCCTCAGCCCCTCCACCCTTCCCTGTTTACAAAGAAATTGTTTCCATGTTTTTCCTTTTCACAAATTTGTTCTTTTCCCTTTTTACCTTTCCCCACCCCTTCCACTTCCTCTGTTTTAGACTTTTCTTCCTATTACACAATATCAGTTATGCAATTTAATCCTTATTTACACGTTTACTTTTTTACACAAGAGAAACTATTTGGCATTTACACATGTGTAACATTAATTTCACTTAAGAGTATGGTCTCAATGCATCCACTTAGCTGTAAATGTCTCTAGTTTCTCGTTCTTTATGGCTGAGTAGTACTCCATTTTAATTTAAAAAAAAAAAACACATCTTCTTTATTCAGTCTCCAGTTGATGGGCTACTGGGCTGTTTCCAAGTTTTAGCTGTTACAAACTGTGCCACTATAAACATGGGTGAGCATATATATCGCTGAGGAATCTGATTTTCTTTTTCAATACTAGAGATTGTATTCAGAAGTATTTTACCACTAAGTTATATACCTTCTTCTTTCTTCATACTGTTTTATTTTGAGACAGGGTATTGCTAAATTGTCCAAGCGGGCCTTGAACTCATAATCTTCCTGACTCAGCCCCTCCGCAGCCAGGGTTATAGACCTGTGTTCCCCACATGGTCCATATCCAGCTAACAATTTAGTTTTAATCCCCTACTTGATAACTACAAACCAGTGTCCTAGGTAATATTGATTTATCTTGTTTTCCTTTCAGCCTTGCAGAGTAAAAAAAAAAAGTTCCCATGTCTTCCCTCTTTCAAAGTAGTTATTAGGAGAAATGATAATGCATTAATATTTCAGCGGGTTTCCTATGTATTATTTTATCTCAATGAAACATTAACATATACTTTTACTCACTCTCGCATCAGCATACATCTGCCTCTCTACCAAGACAATTTTTAAACCACATTTACAATCATGAATCTAACAACTGAGCATATCTTAAACACAATGAGGATACCTTCAGCAAGAACATTTGTTTTTATCATATTTATATTTTCATAGGTTTTGCCTTAAGAAGTAGATTCAGGTAGGTTTTGTGCACACAGGTAGAAAAGAAACATAAAAATAGTGTAGAAAGTGAGTTATTTTGTTGGGTGAATTTTAAGTCTCCAGGGATTTTTAAATAGGCCAATTTCATTGGCTTCAAAAAGCAACACATTCATCTACAAGTGATGGTAACTCAATCTCAGCCTACACTGAGTTAAACACAAGCTGTGTAAACAAAAACCAGCTCTCGGGTGAAAACAAACCGAGGTTATTACCCACCTCCAAGACTAACTGTGTCTTAACTTACTGCATTCATATAAAAACCACTGGGGGAAATGTCTTTTTGTTTAGAAAAGAATCAAGAGTAAAAATGGAAACCTTTACTTTCTGAAAAGAACCGCAACCTTTCAGAAATCTCCGCTTTACACGGGTTACCTAATTATATGCTGCTCAGCCTAATGACTGCATGAAGGGAGGTGAACAGCACAAAGGCTGCAGGAGCAGGACTCTGAATAGGGCCCCATCATCCATGCAAATTGCAAATTAGAGGCCAGCATATGTGACTCAAAACAAATATTAAGATTGACGCGAGCCACGCATTCAAACAAGAGGACGCCACAGAGCCGCACAGGAGAAAGCACGGGAGCCAATCACCACTGAGATCCTCCAGAACACCACTATTTGGGGATGTCCCGTCAGAGAGGGGGCCTGTGATAGGGACAGGCGAGAGGGGCGAGCTCCTGGCTTCGCTCTCGACAAAGATGTCTCCACATCCCTGGTGCAGCAACATGGCGTCCTGAGTAGCGTGCTTGTCCCCCTGCACTTAACTTCCCATACCCTTGTTAGGGATAAAGGAACTCATCTGACCTTCGTCAAACGTCTGCAACATGAGTTTGTCGTGGCATTGGGAAACAGGAAGAATCGGAGTGTTATACTGCGGGGGCGGGGGGGGGGGGGGGTTTGTGTGTGTTTCCCCGGTCAATT